TCGGTTTTTTTGGCAAATCATGTATTTTGGAAATAAAAAAAATAAAAAATAAAGAAAGCAATGATCTGGTGTAGAAAAAACTTTAAAAAAATAAGTGTGAGAATTTTGGCGCTTAATCGAAAAGATTTATGCTTATTACTAGAATTGTTTATTAAATACGCACAAGGTAGCCAAACTACAGTGAAAGGGTGTTCAAATTTCGAGGCAACAAACATCCGCAATTTTAAAGTTCTGAGAATATAGACTTTTAATAAGCTGATGCGTTTCTACTTACGCCTAAATAGTTAATTACTATCAGAGGAGATCAATTATTCTAAGTGACAAATACATTATTTATTTTAGAGAGGCTAAGTAAGCATTACGCAACAAAAAGATTAACCGCTGGGCTGATATTAATTGACGACAACGTGAGATATTTTGCCGTCAGCTGTAAAAAAAACAATCGTTGCTTAAATAAAAAAAAAATATCTTTCAAATCTTTATCGAAGTTTTCTTTGCAATGTTATGACGAAGAATAAAACAGGATTTCGAAAGAATCCTTCGATTTTTTTTTAAATTGCGTAGTTGTAGTCAATTTTAAGACAAGTCCCTTTCACATAGAAGCGTCGCAACAGCGGCACTCAAAAGTACTGTACGCGCGTTTCTCAAGTCTCAACTAAAAAGGCCTTTTTCACGAAAGCGTGACCAATAATAATGCTGCTTCCTCTTTCACTGAACGAGAAGTAATGCCTAACGTGACATTGTCATACAAAAACAGTGACTATTGGTCTAGTGAAGGGATATTCTTTGCCAATGGCTTGCATAAATGAAAGTAAATTATTTATTTGATACAGATAGCCGTTATAACAAAATTACGATTAATAACTTAAATTTATTTTATAGAAAAAAAAATTTCGCATTAAGTTTTATTCCTCAATCAAATAGATATTATTTGTACATTCCTGCAATGAATCGAAGGATTAGGTATATCCGATAGTAATGCGTTAATTTACTAACTATGAAAAATTCAGTAAATACCAGTCTAAAAGTTTTCAATGACTTCGATAATAATGAATTTTCAGGTTAATATCACTATAGCTAGGACAAAAGAATATAAATACTAACTTATATATAGAACCAATGCCTAATCTTTTGTATTGGGATCTTCTAAAAAGCATTAGAAATAGTTATTTATTTTTTTTTCTTTCCAACGCTTGCAAATTATAACATATGGTAACGGATGGCATACCATCCGAAAAAAATGAATGACTCATAAGTTATTGAGTTTTTTGTTGCAATAAGATAACAGATTAATTTAAGAAAAAGAATTTAAAAAGCCATAAATATAGCGGAATTGCGCATATTTGAATTTTAATTATACACCGTATAGTCTATACGACTGCAAATTAAGGTTAATGAACTTTATATGTAATCTTCAAAACTGTAGAGTCTAGACCACATTTATTCGTTTGACTTGTGGAAATTTTTTAAAGAATTCACTAGCAATGGAATTTATTGACGAAGACAGTAACCGAATATAACCTAACTGTTTCGGATTTTGTCACGCAAAGAAGCTCCGAGCATACCTCTCTCCATAGACGACTTCGACGACGAGCTTCTCTAAGAGACCAGCACTTAAGGACCACGTCTCTGTGTCAATATACACTGGTTATGCACCCTTGTCTTTATCTTTAGGCACTGCGGAATCTTGGACGAAAAAACATCGCATAGTTTCCAGAACGCTGCCCGTACGAGTTGAATTCCACGACTAACCTCTTTGTCGAAGTTATAGCTGGCTAACTGGTCCGTTTGTCCAACGTAGACATAGTTTTTAACAAATTCGAGAGTATCATTTACAACAATAATTCGTCAAGGTGTCACTGGTTGTGGTCGTCTTGCACACGTTCATTTTAAAACCCGTCTGGTGCGAAACGTTACTGAGGTCGCATTGTATTAAGGTCCTCCAGCGACTCTGCTATGATGACTATGTCTTCTTCAACGCGAAGGTGATTGATTTATTCGCCGTCGATTCTGACGTCGAATCCATCCCAGCCCAAGAGCGAAATTCAGCGATGAACCAGAGCCACCTACATAGCTCTCCGGATTTGCAAGCTGAAGAGGCAATTGGCCGGCCAGCATTGGAAGGCCTCCTAACTAGGTGGACCAACGACATCGTAAGAGTCGCGGGCAACCGGTGGAGGCAAATAGCTGTGTCATTCGTGTGGCGTTCTAATGGGGGAGGCCTTTGTTGATGATGATGGAATGATTTTTTTGTTCTCACGAACATGCGTTAACCAACACTCATTGACCTTTCCAACACCTGTAGGGTTGCAGTCTTATCCTTCTTATAAAGTGGGTCTCGGCTACCTCACTCACCAGACGGAACACAGAAATATAACAATTCCACTTCATGCCGGTCTTACGTGAGCTTGTGACACTACCTACTTACCAGTGGACCTGCCCATTCGTGCAGCAGTGAAAACCGCGTATCCCTACCACAGTGTGATAATTTATTGAACAAAAAACAATTTAAAACATTAAATACTAAATTAAATGCTACTTAATAAACGTAGTTTTTGTATTTATAATATGGAATTACTTGTGGTAATACAGATTGCTTTTATTTCATATCTTACTATATAATATAAATAAACAACTATCAAGTGGACAAACCGTCACTTATTACATAATCATATAAATATGCGAACATTTTACAATTTCAAAATCTACCGTAAGGGGACGTGTCTTGATGTTTATAGTATTGAACCTTATTTGACCCCCATACAGGTTGCCGATGTCGTGTTACATTGTATTTACGAGCTTCCTAGAAGTTATTTAATAGGACACGGTCCTCAAAGTATATTTTATCATTAAGCGTCATTTGTTTTTTCAATTGATCGGATCTCCAAAAGCTCCGATAACTCCGTTCGTAAAAATGTTGATCCGAATGGATTTCTTTTCCAATTCGAATGGCTGCGAAACGGTGAGGTTCATATCACGGCTGTTAAAAAAGTTTCCACGAAATACGAGAGCGGGTCGTAATGTTTCGATGAGCATATCTGTTGTCGGACCGTCCATTATGATTCTATATAACTGTCGATATCGTGAGTGCCGCTGCGGAAAAATTTGGGTATTTATTAGGGCACAGCCAACGCGCGCGTACATACTCGTATAGTACCCATAGTAAGCGTTATGAAACAGTTCTCGACAGAAACGACTTTTTAATAGCGGATTTGGATGATACCTGTGCCGCACTATAGGCCTTTCGCTCTGTAACACAGTTCGTGAAATTAACAAAGATTACGCATTCTTAACTTTACGTATTGTGCGTGTTTAATAAGCTTCTAAGTGAAATACAATTAATATATAGATATATAAATACATCATAGATAGAATTAAATATATTCGTGAAAACCCTTCTGTGTCCTTTGCACAGAATAATCATGGTACGAGTAAACTCTAATCCACTAATAATATTTATCTTCGAGGGCTTTTCTAAATCATATTCAAATACGTACATTGTTACATCAAAGAGTATACATACCTTTATGTTTAAAGTTTTTTTTTATTTTATTTGAACCTAGACACCTAAATTTTGCATTTTTTAATTCCAACATTGCCATCGCAATATTATATGCTAGTTATAAAAGTGTGTGCTGTCAGACCTGAAGTGAAAGCGCATCGTTTCTGCACCGGTCCTAGTTTTCTTTTCCCTCCTAACCAGCACACTTAGGAAATTACGGCCCTGTTCTTACTTTGTCTGAAACTGGAATCGAACCACGTGCACCTTACCTCAAAGATTAAAGGTAGAAAGTACTTTCAACCGCCAATATCTTGTTGTGGTGCGTCCATAGGATTCGTCTAAAATCTTATTAAAATATAGCTTTCTCTACGTAAAAGATGGACAGATAAGATCATAAATAACTTTTACTTCATAAATCATTTTATCTCTCATTTCATTTCTGTGTAATTTAATGATATGTATATACTCAAATTGACCTTGATTATATGGCTGTAAACAGATACAATAATAGCATAGTGACATTGTAAGTAAAAGAATTCATTCGAAGTCATTTTTATGGGTGTTTTATTTAATAACCGTCCGTCTTCAATAATTTATGGCTTAGTTCATGCGAATTAAGTGCCTAACAAATGTAATAACAAAACACAAATTTGAAATATCGCATAATAACACTTAATCGAAATTCGTTCCAAAAAAGAAGTCTTAAAAAGCGTTATTTGCTCTTATTCCATAAGCGTTATTTGTTGTTTTGTCATTTTAACCTCGGGAACTAGTTGATAAAAACCTATAACGCGTATTTTTCACATCTATTTAAAGAACTCGCGAATTTGATGAGGTGTTAAATTCGGTGTGAAACCGAAAGTAACATACATTCGTCGTTGTCGTTGTCGCCTTGCAGCTATCGGAGTTTTGCAATTTGAATCTACAGTTCTACAGTTTTAAACAGCTCTATTTCCGTAAAAACCCGTAAACTATACGGGTATATTTCGTGTGACCTTTAGACAACATTAACGAAAGAATATGAATTAGACATACGAAAAAATGGAAAATATAAAAATAAAAGGTTGCAGTGATGTGAAAATGGCAACCGACTATTTTTTTATTGCAAAATCTTTGATTTGAATGTGATTGAACGTGAGAATTTATTAAAACTGTATATTTTTAGTTTGCGGCGTATTTTTTGTTTTATGTCATTAGATATACGTTACAACTTCCACTTTCACCTATCATTTTTTCCTATTTACCAAAGACATAGATTTAATTATAGTGTTCAGAATTATTTTATTGATGTGGACAGAAGGAGGGAAGGTGCCAAGCCATTGAAACCGTGTTTCTACACGGGGGTCCATGTGGGTTACGAATTGCCAACCTTTCAAAGTCTGAGTCACACTTGCCTCGCTCACGAGATAAAACATAACATTGTATAGAGTATCTGTGTTTTGCACAGCCTCACGCAAGATGATTGAACATCTTCAGTGAGGCCGTTCTACTGTTCCGCATGAGCCTGCAGTTCCGTGCAGCAGTAGAAGACGCCGCGTGGCTCCACCAATGCGGTACTAATTATTAGCACATGGGTTCATTTAAATCACTTCCGTCCAACGTTCACTTGATTGTAACCGCTTACGAAACAATGTGAAACGAGGGAAACATTTTACACAGATGTTAAAAAGATTAACTTTTCAAACATTTGAACAGTATTTGACGTAAATAACATTGTTACATATATGTGAAATATGCAAATTTGTTGCCACCAGTGACTTTTTCGCATATATTCTATTTTTATGCTATGACTAGATTATTGGCGGACAACCCAAAAGATACAAAGTACAACGACAAAATGTGGCTTTCGAAATATTTCTATATTACAATAAACAATCGTTAATAATTTTATAATCAAAGTTTAATTGAAACAAATAATAATATAAAAGATGGACACGCAAAGTTCTATGTTTTAACTACTTCGTAGTATAATTCCAGTTTCGGACACATTTTTTATTCCTGTATATTTTTTTTACTTATACATTTAAACCCGGACTAAAGTTAGGCGTTCGCCGTCTGTTTTTCCATGCCATAAATAAAAGTGCAATCGCTGCGTCTAAACAACATACAAATAACATCATTTGTAGGTTCTCTGAGCATGAAAATGTAATTTGCTTAGCTAAGCTACTATAGCAACTAGAATGTTGCACAACCAACGGCCGTTGGCGGGTCAGCTATGGGAAATACATGACTAAACCACATTAATTACGAACGTTGCGTCGGCAGCGATTTTCGTTACCATAAGAACAATATCCCCACCCGTCCCTTCACTCTTTAGAGACGAACGTTCTAGAAAAAGCGCAGTGACACAGAAAGACATTTGTACAAAACAACTTTAACAAATATTTTTTTAAATGATTATATTATTAACTATTAACAAAAACTTAATTGTTATTATTATAAATTACTCAACTAAATTTACTGTTTTGATTACAGAAATGGCCGGTGGTGTATCTGTTAGAGAGTTCTACAAAGACAAGAATGTCCTTCTAACTGGTGGAACCGGATTCATGGGGAAAGTTCTGATCGAGAAGCTTCTTTATTCCGTGCCCGATATCGGTACTATCTACGTGCTGATGAGGCCAAAACGCGGAAAGTCTGTAAAGCAACGTATGGAGGAAATGCTGCGATTGCCCGTATGTATAATAAAAAATTGGCAAATCTTCCGTCATAAATGAGAATATTTAGATAGTGATAATTAAAGAGAAATCGATGTTTTAAAATCGACGGCTAATTTCTTATTAGCTGTCGATTTCAAAACATAGCTTCGGTGCTTTTGCTTGTGTATAATCTATTCCTCTATCTATCTATAACACCACAATATAATGTAGTCCTGAATAGACATGGAGAAAATAAGTATCTAATATATAAAATTCTCGTGTCACGGGGTTCGAACTTGAGCTCCTCCGAAACGGCTCGACCGATTTTTACCAAATTTTATATGCGTATTCAGTAGGTCTGAGATTCGGCTACTATCTATTTTTCGTCCCCCTAAATGTTAAGGGGGTAGTCCCTAATTTTTTTTTTATTTTTTAGGCAAAATTTTTTGTTTTTATTTTTTTATGACACAGAAAGAAATCATAGAAGCGAAAATTAATTCGATGTTAACGTAAAACTAGTGTGGTGAAAGTTTTAGAAAGTTAAGTAATATTGAATTCATGGATAATTTTGTTAAGATACATTTTATAGTCACAAAATATGCCATCATTGAAAATAGTTTGAAATAAATCCTGCATCGCATCATATTTTTATGTTACTTTTAAATTAATTAAACTAATGCTCTACCAAACACAATAACATAACGTTATATTATGCATTGCTGTACATTTAAGAAACAATTGTAAACAAAAATGTTAATGATTTAACGTAATAAATAACTTGTCTTAATCGATATTTATTTTCAGGAAATAGTGTGAGCTTTCAATAACTAATAAACGGTTTCACAAAGCAATTAAAAAATTAGTTATTCTTATGCAAATATAATTTTCATTGTCAATTTATGTCTCTCAAATATTTTTAAACGAAGTTTTATGTCACATTCACCTCCACTTCTTTTCTCTTTTAAACGCTTCTAAAGTTCCGGAGTTGACGCGTGAATCGTAAGTTTTTTTCTGTATTTTGAAAATAAATTCAACACAAGCAAAGGAGGTATTAAATAAAAAAGGGCTAATTGCGGTTGATGAGACTAATAGCCAAGTAAACAAAATAACATCCCGTATCACTTTTACTATCCAAAGACATTTTTCCATAACCGTTCCTCATCATACACTTCCAGATGTTCAGTAGGATCAAAAACGAACGGCCGGCCCTTCTTAACAAACTGAAGCCTTTGCAAGGCGACGTGTTATTTGAGAACTTTGGTTTGTCCGACTCCGATATCGAAGGCCTATCAAATGAGGTGTCGATTCTCTTCCATTTCGCTGCAACATTGAAATTGGAAGCGCCGCTGAAGGACAACGTGGACATGAATACGTGTGGCACCATGCGCACGCTCAACATTGCAAGGAGACTCAAAAATCTCCTTACCTTTGTCCATCTTTCAACAGCCTTCTGCTACCCTGATTACGAGGTTCTCGACGAAAAGGTAAAACTTCAACTTTGCAACTTTCACCGTTGTATTATTATCTCATCAAGATTAATTTCAATGAATTATTTATCAGCTAATACGTATTGGTTAAGTGTTAAGAGTCTCTCTTCAAGAACATTTTTTAATTTATTTCTTTTAAGTTGAAAACCTTTAAGCGTCGCAATAAAGTTCTAAAGTAAAGTGAAATACATAAAGGGCAGATAAAATTTTAGTTTCTTTATTTTGAAGGTTTAATGCATTATATTTGTTTATCGTACTTGGACATCCTTGATGTTGAGGTTATATTTTAGATGCATGCGCCTCCAGTGAAGCCCGAGGATGTGATGAGACTGATTGAATGGCTGGATGACAAGCAGCTCGCTTTGCTGTCGCCGTCACTGCTGGGTCCGCATCCTAACAGCTACACGTTCTCCAAACGACTCGCAGAGAACGTCGTGGAACAAGCATACGATGAACTGCCGGCAACCATAGTGCGGCCAAGCATAGGCAAGTCTGTAAACTATGCGAAATTATCTTGTGGCAGGCTTGTGTGGTGTGGTAAATGACACAAGGTCAATCCTTCTCTCTACCTCTCGTACCGGTCAGAGAAGTTAAGGATAGTAAAAGTTAGAGGCACGGATAGAAGACGTGGTTGTTATCAAAAAGAATCCGTAAAAATTGATTATCTTTCATTATTGTTACAGTTATATCGAAAACATTGTCATCTATCCCTGATACTTACGCGTTGGTAAAACTAACTAAAAAAAACATTAATAAATCTTAACATTTTATTACTCGCTTATGTCTGTCGCTCGTTCAAATTGTCCAACTTTTTCTGCCGATTCAATCCATACATAATAAAACTGCCTAAATGATTTAACCAGCTTGGCAAGTTTTCATCACAACTTTTATACATCCTTATAATTGCTGTCATCAGTGTGCCCAGCTTTATCGGAGCCGTTACCCGGTTGGGTGGACAATCTCAACGGGCCAGTGGGAGTGATGCTCGGCGCTGGTAAGGGCGTCATCCGTAGCATGCTCTGTGATGGTAGCCTGACCGCGCAAGTGGTACCGGTAGACACCGCCATAAATGCCATCATCGCCATCGGAATGCTCGAGGGGACGAGGACTGAAAAGTGAGTTCACACTACATACACACTTCGTACTCACCTGTGACGTGTCTCCTATACAGGATCCTCATCGACTTTGTATATCAAAGCAATAAAGGTCAGAGAACATAATTCCTGGTTTACTCGACGGTTTAGTGTTCAACGATAAACGTTTATGACAGAAATCTACAAAAGACACTTTGCGTAGCACAGAGCAAACCGATGTAATAATTAACAATCATTCGTTTTAGGTTAATTTTTATAATAATGGGTCCTAATAAATTTAAATGGCTAAGCTATCCCTATATCTATGTTCATATATTTTTAGTATATATGTGCCACAATATGCGAATCAAAAAATACTGTACATCGACCCATTCAAGCTTAAATTTGTCATTTAATTACTGCTTAGAAGAAACAACGGTTGCACCACGCAAATCATTTTGATATGACGTTCAACACTCTCGTTCGTATGACCGAAAATACATAAATAATAACCTGTCACCCTATAGACCTATAGACGACATCAAGATTGACGTTAGCAGGGCGATGAAAGTACCAAAAATTTCAGGCCTTTAGCTATCCCTATATACAACGTGAATATCGGCCACCAAAAGCCGACGTCTTGGGGCGATGTCCTGAACATAGCCAAGGATTACGGTCGGAAATACCCCCTAGCCTGGCCGCTATGGTACCCCAACGGAGACATCACCACCAACGAGACCCTGCACTACTTCCGGCGCATCTTCTACCATCTGCTGCCAGCTTACACCATCGACTTTTTACTCTTCCTTTGCGGGCAAAAGCGTTTGTGAGTTCAAAATTCGATAGTATATCCCCCTCCCTCCAATCTTAACCAATTCGATCAAGTGCACCAATATTTTCTTTACGTAACATCAACATGCCTCAACTCAATCTCGACTCGAAATTCTACATTGAAAGCTCAAAAAGCGGCATGTCTTTAAATATGCCTTATAGACATTACGAGATATTTCGAGATATTTACATAAGTTACTGTTAGATATAATCTGTTCACCATTTGTTAGACATTTGAAGCCGAAGGCTTCAACCTCCAACAGAAAAGCGTAAGAAAAAATCATGCATGGATGCGTATGTTGCAGCATGGTGAGGATACAGGACAGAATCAGCCAAGGTCTGCATGTGCTGCAGTACTTCACGATGAGGCCATGGGTGTTCCCATGCCCCAACTTTGACGCAATCCACGAGCGCCTTGACGACGAGGAGCGGAAGATCTTCAGGACGGACCTCACCACTGCAGACCGCGTCAAGTACATGCACAACTGCGTAGAGGGCGGACGCGTTTTCTGCTTCAAAGAGGACCCTACGAAAATCCCGTACAATAGATCCTACCACAACTTGTAAGTATACGCATCATTCGTTGAAACCTCAAACTTCTTTTTAGGATTCCGTACCGTACCCAAAGGGTAAAACGGGTCTGTATCTCCGTCCTTCATCTCTTGAACCGTGATCTGAAATAGTAAGTAGAAAAATAATTTTCACAGATGGTGTATTTATGTTGTAGCTATAAAAACAAGTACTAAAATATAGAATAAAAAAGTATTTAAGTGGGGCTCCCATACAACAGACTTGAATGTTTTGACGTTCTTGGGTTAATGGGTAATAGTATACTCGCGCACCCTTTGTGCACGAGTCCGACTCGCACTTGACCGCTTTTTTAAACTTATGAATTTTTAAGAAAAATAAGGACTTCAGTGATTTTCGTGTCACTATTTCGTAACCTCAATGCAATTATTCAACGTTAAAAAAACACCAAGAATTAATGAAGAATCGAACCATTTATTATAACGTTTGTGAATGCATAACGTTAGGAAAGAATAACATAAGCTCTGTCTTGTATTGTATGGAATAGTACTGTATATGGTCCTATACATTGGTACCTAGTACATCACAATGTTGAGACCTGCGCCATCAATATATAGATAGGTTTTATGGAACAGACATTGCTATTAATTCGTTTCAGCACGGAATATAGATTTATAACTACGCCACTTCAACGTCAACCGCCGGTGAACCGCCAGCTTGTCGGCCACTTTCTCAGATAAACAAAAAGTTTTATACAAAACGTTCTGTTGTCTTATATATAACTACTTTCTGCTGCTTGGGTATGTGCAAATATTGCACATGGACCTTTGGAATGAGACATTCGGCTAATTTCGGCTTCGTAGAGCTTTGTCTCTGTCGCACACTCATGTAAAGGGACCCATTCACTATCCTGCTTGAGTCCGCCGTGAAAGACTTCGAAGCAGAATGTAGCTCTAATACCCTATTTAGCCTACCATCATGAGTACCTTTTCATTTCTCACTAGTATCAGTGTTCAGCTAATTAGCGTTTTGCGTGCTATTTCGAAGAAAAAAAAACTGTTTTTTTTTATTACATAACATTCACAATTCTGTATAAAGCGTTGCGAAAGTTGTTGAGACCAACTGGGTACCCCATGGAGAATTACAAGTAAAAAATAGGAAAAGAGAATGCATTAAGTAAATAACCACTACAAACGTAGAGTGTCTTGAGTGTCTGTGTCAGAATTGGTGAGGCACAGGGGTCTTGTATCAATAACCAGTAATACCTGTAGATAAGCAAAAATTTCTTAACGACGAATATTACTAAACACGTCATATAATTTTATTTTTAGATTAAGAAAAATTTAAATTATTAAGGGAAATAGCCTCTTCAACAAAACTAACGTAATTTTTATTTAAATTTAGAAAAAAGTGTCACATTTGGAAATAAATAAGCTCAAGGGAATGGTCGCGATATGTTATGATGACTCCGTGGCGCAGTTGCCAAGGTATTGGTTTCGGCGTCGGGGCTCGTGCGTTCGATCCCCACGCGGGACAACTATTTGTGTGACCCACATATAGTTGTTTTTCATCTGGGTGTATTTCCGCGTGTAATTTATAAAAAGTTTGTTAAAACGTCCTTACAACACAGGATAATGTTATCCTAAAGTAAGTGCAATGTAAAAAAAAAAATGAAAGAAAGATAATCTCACTTCGTTATAATTGGCTCCAGAAAGTGTATGTTTTGCAAACGTAACACTCATATAATTAAATAAATAGTATTGTTTAACCCACTACTTAGTTTCTCTTATTTTACGTTAGAATTCGTAATTCTTGTTTAAGTTAATTGTTTCTTTACTTCGTCTTTGCAGCCTGTACTTCCTGGACTGGATGGTGAAGATTCTTTTCTGGCTGCTCGTACTGTCGTTCATGGCTACATGGTTCGAACCCGTCAAAGTGCTCTTTAGCTACGGAGAGCCGGTGGTAAAACGGCTACCCTTCTTGGGCGCCGCTGTCTTCAACGAGAACAACTAATCCTCCCTTGCCACCATGTCAGCTCTAGCTGCCACATGGTTGCTTTGTGCTGCCTCTTCAAATATCTCGAAGCTCAGAGCGCTAGTCTCTGTTACATTATCACATGAAGCTATATTTACGGAGTTCATTAAATTTGATATTCTCAACGTTTCGTATCCCTTTGCACCATTCGCTGTCACATAATTTACGTTATCTTGATGAATTCCTTAAAATAACTTCATTTAAGAAGAAGACAGTATTCCGAAGACTTCGCGTACGAACAAGCCATCGGAGACATCGCGATCGAATGAAAGGTTCGTACCATCCTCACGCCGAATGGATTCGAATGTAGCTTTTGTTTCTTTTTCATCAAAAATTATACCTTTCTAAATTCTTGGACGAAGCTAGGAATAAATTCAATCAATTTAATATACATTCCCAACAATTTATCCGAAGGTTTTGCTTAACAAAGTATGTATATAAAAAGTCCTTACAACAAGGCTTCAGTGGAAATTATTTAATAAAGCAGAAGGAAATTTTTAAACTAAAATTAAAAAGAAAACGTTCAAAATCTAAACATAGACAAAATGTAAATACATATTTTGCAAGTGGTACTAGAAACTAGAATATTAAAAAAAATGTTACTTGTTTTGCTGAATTACACACGGTAGAAACTGTAAGGATGAGTGTTAAAAATTTATTCAGTCATTTTTTTAAATATATTTGCGTATCGATTACTTAACATTAGTCGTAAGTCTAATTAACAAATTAGGTATTGTTTGGTTGGGAAGTAGTGTTTAATGGCAGTTTAAGGTTCATATTTTTAAAAATGTTTTCATGCTTATTATTAAAATAAGAGATCCCAAATGAATCATTAATGATTAGATAATACCTGTCACGAAATGTCACCAAATCTGCGCGGAATGTTCACCATTTTGATAAAACTCGTCATCAGAACGAAGATACCCAATTGTCGAATTGAAGACCGAATTGTTTACTTTAAATTACCCCAATGATATCTTCATTGTTCTATACAAACTTAATAACGAAGGCTCTTATCACGTTCTCAAGTTACTTGATAACCAGAAGTCTGAAGTTAACTGATACTCAACGTCAGCAGTATTTCGAATGTACCCCAGGTTCCCGCAATATATAGAACTTCTGTTGTAAAGAGGGGACTTATACATTAAAAGCCAAATTATTATCAATCGAGCACAAAATTGTCGTTACCACAATTCAAGGACAAATATGCAGATAAATGTAATCTAGCGTTAGCAGTGATTATTAAAAAAATAATGATTAGTATTTTTTTTTATACTTTTATCAGATAAAAAACAATTCTAACTTGTTTCAACAACGGGCACTGTACATTAAACGTTTATATTGCTATATAAATGTCTAGTATTAGTCTTGCCGTAATATTAGTTATTATAAGTGATATCGTTCTTAGTTTTAATATAAAAATATAAATGCAGAAAACCTCGAAATGTCCAACTGATGCTTAGTAATCAAATTACCATAAAATTAAAAAATTATAAAGAATATATAAAATAATATATGATTTAAATTTAGAACATAATTTTCGATTTGTCAGCTAATAAAAAAATTTATACCATATACATGAGTTTTATTGAAATGTATAAACATGTCTAAGAAATATAGCAAAAAAGTAATAATAGTGTTGAATTAAATCATAGGGTACAGCAGGCAATAATAATAAAAGATTGAAATGTTTAGGAAAGTATTTTTTACTTGATAAGAGTATACTTAAGTGGATAAAATAAATGAATAACAAAAACAAGTTGTTTTGTTCTTAATATCAGTTTGCATTAAAAATTGCATAAAGGTTCAAAGGTTGTTCAATATAATGAAAACATGTTATTCATTTACATTAAATATATCAACAATCTGCATTACAGTTGCAAACAGTTTTACTTAATATCCAAATATATCAAAACAATTAAATACATTATCGCTAACATACTGCAGCATTTGCTACATAAATATGGTTAATGAGTTGAATAAGTATATGATGAACACCCACATCAAGTAGTATAACATCTACTTAGTGGCGTTGACAATATCAACGAACTCCGGCTTTAAGCTGGCACCTCCCACTAGGAAACCATCTATATCGGGGCAGCTAGCTAACTCTTTAGCATTAGCAGCCGTAACGGAGCCGCCATATTGGATTCGTACAGACGAGGCAATACCAGCACCCACATTAGTTTTCAGCCAGTTTCGCAATGAAGCGTGCACTTCTTGTGCCTGCAAAAAAAAAAATTTTAAGAGAAAGTAACAAAACATCAGACTCATGTAATTGAGTTCATGAAGCACTGCGAATTCATAAAAAAACAAAAGCTGCTCTATGGCATTGCAACAGTAAAAATTTTGATCATAACTTGTAATAAACCACAAAATCAAAAAGGCTGAACCCCATTTGGGTGTATTTGACTAAAGTTCGCGTTGCATAATTACCTCTCAAAAATTTGCAAAACCCTATTAAGGTTCAATTAGAGTTAATAACTCAAGTATCTGGACATCAAATCACCTGTTGCGGAGAGGCGGTCTTGCCTGTTCCAATAGCCCATACAGGCTCATATGCCAGCACCACATTGGTCCACTTATCACCAATTGCAGGCACTAATGCTTTTGTCTGCCTAAAGACTACTTCCTCAGTCTTTCCTTCTTCCCTCTCCTCCAAAGTCTCACCAATGCAAGCAATCACCTTCAAACCTGACTCAAGAGCGTGGGCTACCTGGATAAAAAAATTACAATATTCTTATATTTGTCTAAACATAGATTGAAATTTATTTAAAAAATAAGTACCTTTTCTGCAACTAAATCATCTTTTTCACCAAAAATGGTCCTCCTCTCAGAGTGTCCAAGGATAACCCAGTTCACACCAATATCTTTTAACATGGCCGGAGAAATTTCGCCTTAAACACAAAATGGTATTTTTTTATTTTACAACATATAAATGCAAACAAGTTTTTGAATTGACAGATTTTTACCAGTAAAAGCTCCCTTTGGTGCCTTCCAGCAATTTTGGGCTGCTACCCATATGGTATCAGGCACAATACTTTTCACATATGAGAGGTAAATAGCAGGTACACCTATAATGACCTGAAATAGAACACTATGTAACTGTAGTAAGGCCACACAACAGTCTTCTTTATTGCACAAATGGGCAGGTCCATGCGGGGTAAGTACACAACCTTTAATAATAATTTGTGCCCTTAAGGCACAAATTATTATTATATAAGACCTGCGTACGACCTATTATGTCGTACGCATGCATGATCTTCGCCCACACGCACCCTACTCACTTGTACAACCTGCAAATAGTACAAAATAAGTTCATCCGCCGTGCAACTGGTGCGCAGTGGTATCAACGCAACGTCGATCTGCACAGTGATTGCAGACTCCCCACGATTTGCGAATATTTTAAAGACCTGACCAAACGGTTCTTCGATAGAGCCGAACATCATCCCAACCCTCTGGTGGTAAGCGCAGCAAATTACCAACCCGACACAAACGCGAACGTCAACAAGTGTCGCCCGCGAAACGTCCTCATCAACCCGGTCGAGGAAGGGGACTTAGATACGCCGGACCCATCGCCGGGGGTCCCGCCGGATAACACTACACCCACAGCTAGTGTAACAACAATCACAATAGTTCGCCCTCGCCTCCGAGCACGGCGAGACCAACACAACGCGTACACAAGGTACACCCGCGTTCCAGGGCGGTTCTCACCGCCCCCAGCAACCGATTAGCTAAAAACACAGTCGACGGCCATCGGGGTCTCGGTCCGCACCGCAACTTCGATGGCCATTAGATGACATGTCGTAGTTAAACGCACGCATGAGCACATGCGCGGCCCTACCCACAGCGGAGGGCCCAAACCCATGGGTTCTGGCTAACCCACCGGTTCTGCGTCAGATGAACCTTTAATAGTATCGAGACTGAAAGCAAAAACATCAGTTAATACAAGATACAAGACCTTTAAGAAGACCAGCATGAAGTGGAAGTGCAAACCTTTGCCTTATTAATAGTGGCTAGGTCTTATGAGCATGTCAGGCTTGACAAACCTGAACTGTCATGCTCTAGAACAGTAGACCAAGCCTGCACCCATGGGACACACGGGTTTTTAAAACCACAAAAATTTAAAACAAAAGTTAATGGATACATACATATTTACATTTTTAATATAAAGCTGAAAAGAAATGTACCTCAACGTTGGCATCTAAGGGGCCTTTCTTCAAATTATTAATTATTTCATTAATCTGGTTTTTATCGCCATTCATTTTCCAATTTCCCCCCACGACGAATTTGCGAGACATTTTTAGGCTTTACTTCTAAAAAATAAAATAAAAATTATCCAGGCTAGAAAACTAAAGTCAAGAGTTCATTTTTTATTTTTATACATGATACGGTTTTATAGTTTAAGTTTTTCTTTTTTTTTTTTTTCAAAATAAAAGTTGATTTTAAAACTCCCATATTTTTTATTCCTTACCTCAGCACTCTACTCGGAATCTGAAATATTTTTAGCTGTAGCCTGTAGAAAAGTATCAGGAACGAATCGATAAGATTTGTTTTCTATTACAAAATTCTGGTTAGTGTTTTATGTCAGAAGAACAAATTATTTTGATTGGTCCGAATATTTTTACGTTAGACATTATCACCAATAGTGAGTGAGGATACTCAATTCGTGTTTAAAGCCGACATGTAAAACATACTATCTTGCTATGACCTTTGTGACATTGATAATACAGACGATTAAAACAACAGGTAATGCTTGCAACAGAGAAAAAATAAGTATGTACTTATCATCTCTTATATGGACTCTATCCATGATATTCCTAAATCATGATATTCCTAAACCCGTATTAAATTACTTAATACATTTTTGGGGTCGGGAACGAATTTTTCTTTCATCATCATCATCATTTCAGCCTGTTTGAGTCCACTGCTGAACATAGGCCTCCCCCATAGACTGCCATGAAGTACGATCCTGAGCCACCTGCATCCATTGACTTCCCGCACTCCAGACCCTAAATAACAGGCCAATAACGGGCAGCAGCGTTATAGGTGCGAGGAGTCTGGAGGAACCGTGGTTGCCAACCCGCTTGCCAGGCGTGGCAATTATGGCACAACCCCCCCATGATAGAAGTCCAAATTTTTCTTTATTATTCAAATGTAACTTATAGATTCTTTAATTTCAGTTAATTAAAATATAAGAGCGTCAAAACCTTTTGTGTTTAAAATATAAGAGCGTCAAAACCAAAATATTTTGTGTTAATATTTTACGTATTTTATAATTTATTACATTTTAAAAAGATTTGTTTTAGTCTTATTCCGAAAGAACAATTTGTAATTTGCAATTTTTAATTATTTCAGCGCCGGTGGCTCGATATACTACGAAACAGGGTTGCTGACTTAGTGGTTTTCCCCCAAAATTTAGGGCGTAAACAAACCGTTGAGATTTTTAAGGGCATTATATTTTTAGGGTCATTTTTGGCTTAAGGCTTGACTTCTTAAATTTTTCTTTTTCTTAAAGTTACTTTTTTTATTAATATAAATAAAGGGCCTGGAGTAACGCAATCTACCCAATCATGTTTGTTTGTTGACCTAGCAGCTTATGGACATCTAGTACAGTTTTTCATTAATAAGAATGTTGTGTTGAACTATGGATAGTAGAGATTAAAAGTGTTCGTCAAAACGCAGTCAATAGCGGCATTGTAGGATAAAATTTAAAGGCAGCACCAAAAGTAGTTTTTTAAACTGTTGTAATTTTTTTTATCATTCAATATTAATCTCATTTTGGAATAACGGAAAAATATTGTTTCTCTTCCGGTTAACGGTAAAGAAATTTTTCATAAAATTAAATTGCCTATACTTTTTATAAAACCAACATTTTTGTTGCCATATACTTCACTGTATTATTCCATTCATGAGAAAATTAATGCAAAAATCTTTGCGCCATTTATTATTTACAACTTTTTTACTAATATTACTTTATTGGGGGGTTTTAAGGGTTTTTGACTTAAGCTTTAGGGACTAATATTTTTAAGAGTTGGTAACACTAACACTGTTTGGGACGTACTGGTGGCGCGCAAGCAACAAAGTTTAAGTCAAAAGTTTGTAGTTTTTATTTTTTTAAAGTAACTGTAATTAATACATGACCAAACTTTAAAAGCTTTGAAATTAAGAGATTAAGCTTAAAATAGCAAAATGAGTAAGGTAAGTACAAAAATGTGATAATATTTCATGCTTTTATGATTTAATACTGAGTTTTTTTTAATAGACATTCACGGGGGATAAACGAGAAAGCTTAAATGCGGTGGAAAGCGAAAATATTAAAACAGACTCTTTAGAAGAAATAAAATCGAAAATTATAAACGAGGACAAGGTCTGCAGGTAAAGAATGCAACATCTTTCTAACAGTGTAAGACAGCTAGACAGCATAAAAACTAAATCGCCACGGGGTTATTGGTATGGTTGAGATAGTGACAGAAATATTTAGATTAGATTGTCGCCTGGCGTCTGGCGATGTAGTTTTACACACTCGTAGTAACAACGAGTGCTATTAAGTATTTGCTTGTTTACAAGCAAATACTTAATAGTTTTGGATGCATGTTTGCCAAGTACTTGATTCACTCAGAAACTAATGAAGCAACCTCAAAAATTTTAAAATGTGGTTGAATTCAAAAGACCTCCCTAAATTTTAATTATTTTACTTAAACTTTAATAAATATCATATGTATATATTACATACATGTATACCTTATTATTATTCCCATCATAATTATATTTATCAACTGAACAGTGGGCTCTGATTACAACAGTTATGAGACAAATTGCCAAAGTGTAATGCTTCCACTTCTGCCTGGTCTGTGAGGCATATCACTAGACAAGCCTGCCCATTCGTGTCAAAGAAGTTGCTGTTACACTAATGGGCATAACAGAGCCACTTGACAAAATTTTATTAAGGGACAAAAGGCAGATGCATGGTGAGATCTGTTCATTGTTCAAACTTGCGTTAAAGTCAAACCTATTTTTTCTTATTTCTATAATTATGCTATTCTTTTATACCATTGAAAAAAAACATGAATGTGTGACATCACTCTATTTGGAAATATGAACACTTTCGACTGGTAATTTTGTAAAGGTATGTATGACAAACAATGGTTTGTATTTATGTAAAGGTATGTATCTATACTATAAAGCATCATTGATGAAGATATTCAAGGTGTGATATTTAAGATAGCTCAGTGCCTGGGAGCTTTTAATTGAATGTACATACTTAGTAAAAAACATTTGTTTTGCAAATAAAAAAATATGGTTTTTTAACATGACTAGAAACGTAAATGGCTTCATAACTTTTGATTCAATCTTTGTTTCAGTTTGTGGATTTAATAAATGGTATTCACATATTATCACTTCACACATGGTGAACCTAACGCACCCCTTAGGTGATATATTATTATAAACTAACAAAACATAATATCTTTAGAGAATTGTATAGTACAAAAAATACTATAATAAACCAGTTCCGTACTATTCTATAGTTACGGTAAAATTATGTAAGTTGTATTATCATCATCATATCAGCCGTAGGACGTCCACTGCTGACCATAGGCCTCCCCCATTTACTTCCACTTCGACCGGTCGTTAGCGGCCTGCATCCAACGCGTCCCTGCACTCTTGGCTAGGTCGTCCTTCATCCTTGTGAAAGGCTTTCCTACGCTGGGCTTGCCGACACGTGGTCTCATCTCACTCGAGAACCTGTATGTTGTACATGTTGCATGGCCCCACTTAAATATTATTTTATTGTTTTTTAGTGTTTGTTGTTTTAGCGATTACAGAAATACATCTGTGAAAATTTCGATGTAACTATCACGATTCTTGAGATACAGACAGAAACAGACAGCAGATTCTTAGAAAAAGGGGGCATGTTTTACACTTTGTGTACGGAACCCGTAAAAGGTGACCCGTAAAAACGCGAAAATATACATTCGTACGCCATCGTCAGTATCCTTTGTACTTCCAACGAGTAGCTTGCCCATCCATGCAACAGTGGTCCAACCAATTACAGTACACATTCCACTACGGTATTCTGATTCTACTGCCTATACAATACTAAGAACTGCAAAAAATTGTAGCAAAAATAACTACTATAAGTACTTATGTTGATTTATACATATTCGTAATTTTGATGCAACGGTAAACGGGGAAAAAGATTTTCTTATTTTTATAGTTTTAAAATGTTGAGAATGTAGTATTTGTCTTTGGTAAATAGAACAAATTATTTTCTTCGGACGTCCGAACAGCTGTTTGATAGACGCCATATTGTCTATAAGATCAACAATTTGTTTTGACAGTCTAAAATAATTATTTTTGTTTTATCTAAATTGTTTTCACTTTTTTTTAATATAATGAAATTAACGTAATTTTTTTATCATAAATTGGGATTTTTTTTCGTATACCTATATTTACCACAGGTATACATTGACTGACATTTAAAAATTAATACTGATATCGGGGTAGGATTTTGTACTATAATGCTTCGTACTATACACTATCCATATCTAAGGATAGTACGAACATGTACTATAATTTCATTTCTTTTACCAAAATTAGCAATATTATATCATTCACTTCCAAAAGAAGTATTTAGGTTGCAATCACTTTGTATTTTAATGCTATCGAACAATACAAAGTTGTTTTATTACTTGTCTATAGCACTGTCTATTATTACCATACATAAAAAGTTGTCATCGATGAACAATTAACGGGGACTTACCGCGTATGGTACTTTTTTTGATACTCCGCTTTCTCAAACAGCCACATTGCACTCATTGAAGTAAGCAGTAGAGTTCATACTTGTCTAATAATATGATTAATTTATTGTTTCTATAGTACGGCCGTTCCATTCTAATTCAAACTGATAACGATCTTCTGCCTTCTGCGAGTTTTTGAGTAAAATAATTTAATTTTTATGCATTAATTTTGAAAATAATAGTGTACTATAATTTTTTGTCAAATACTATCCTAAATCTTTTGTACTATCTTTTTTTACTGCACCTAAATCCAACCCTGGCTGATATTTCCCGGACTGTTATCTACAGTACTACCTACCTATTAGAGTACAGTCACTAGTCACAGTCAGTGTTCTGTCGTCGAATCGTCAAGCGACGTTGTCGGGGTGGATTGCGGAAATCGTTAGTTATTTAAATTACTAATAAGTGAGTTAAATATTTTATTCCATTGCAACTAAAATAACTAAAAATTTTCGAAAATGTAATATTTAAAGAATTTAAATTTGAAAACCTTAGCGTAAAATTACGCAAAGGTTTATTAACTAATAACTAAATATGAAAATTAAAAAAGTATGGAAATGGTACAATTTAATTTATTTATGATGTAATTTTAAATATTTATATTGTATTTTAAAAGAATTACATACATACATCTTTCAATTTATCCATTAAAATCAATAACTGAACTTTCTTGTATAAAGACACAGTATTTTTTTAAACCCTATTTGAACATAATAGGTATAAAAATAAAATCTTATATGTTTAAAAATTATCAGTCAAATTGAGTTTAATATTGCCCCTATAAGATATTATTATATTTTTTATTATTATATTATTATATTTATGCTAAATAAGCGGTGTTCTACAACATACATTTAAGAGACTAAAATGAAATTTTATATTTGAACTTGCAGAGATATTGATAATAAGAAGAAAATGATATCCAAGAATATTCAAGTTGACTTCAAAGAAGAGTTACCTGATGGTGGAATAGTTTTCGATTTAAAATATGAAATGTACTGGCAAGAACTTGCTGAATCTAAACGGTAACTATTTATTTTGTTTAATTAATAAAAAATACATATAAGTAATATAAAATACATAATAATAATAAAAAAAGTGTAATATAAATTAAATATATAATTTTTGTAATTATTATATTAACTTTTAAAATTTTAGTCTTGAACTAGAAGAAGCTTTAGAGGAGAATGAAAGACTGTGTAAGCTCAAGGAGACGCTAATAAAAGAAAATATTCATTACCAAAAATTACTTGAAGAAGCCAGCAGCTTTGTGGAAGTTTTAAAAGTAAGGACCTATCATAGGTTTTAAATAGTTATTTATTGTTCTATTTATTGTTGATCTGCCTAACAAATGTCTTGTGAACCTAATTCATTAAGTATTAACTTACAGAGTACAAATAATTCTTTTCATCTTTGTTTGTATGTATTTAAAACATATTTCATTTGTCTTGTAAGTTTTACTTCATCAGTTTATGAGGATTGTTTATTTTCAGGAAGTGGTTCAAGAATCTTCCGATGATACTGGAATTGATGTTAGAGATGTCAATGACTCTCATGATGAGTAAAGGTCACCTGTATATGCCATTCTACATTCTACATTTACCTATGCACATATTATCCGATCTGTTTCGAATTGTTGTTGTTATATGAAATAGAAATTATTCTCTCAATCCTGTTTAGGGTTTATTTAATAACTTATACTTAGTACTAACAGTATTAGATTTATTTTACTTCTTTGTTTCATTGCTTTAATTGCTATGACCAAAGTATTACTTTTAATACTATTTAAATGTTTCATTGTTATACATGGCAAAAAAATCTAGCAAAATAACATCAAAATAATCAAATAGTGTGTCTTAAAAAAAATTATGTAAGGCTTTTTTATAGTTATTATTGTTGACTCATCATTAAAGTCAACTATGTCTGTGTTTAATCATATTTTGCTTGATTTTTGTATATTTGAAAATAAGACTTAGTGTTACATAATGTGTTCATGTTACAAAAAGAATTATTTTGGAACCGGTCTGGTACCATTTTCAAATTAATCTGTTTTTAAAGACTTTTCTGGCATTAAGCCTTTACCTGATATTGTGTGATGTATTTACTGTAAAAATAAAGTAATATGATGAGGATTGTTTTATTTATTTGTTAGCTCTTTATTTTCTTTTTGTTATTATTTCTGCCCAAAGGATAGCTGATATTAGGCAGACGTGTCGTAAAAATACTAAAACTCTTAATGAATCATGTGTTACTCCCTTGAAGATATTTTATAATTCATGTTGAGTAATCTCGCTATAAGTTTGTTACATGTGCTACATAAAAATAATATCGTTCTATTCACTGTTATTGGAATTCAAACAAAAACTTTCCTTTTTTGGCAACTGTGAAATACAATACAAAAGTATGAATGGACGCAATGCAAGCAAAAACGTCTGATGTTCCCAGATACCTCAATAAATTTCACATCTTATATCAAATATTTTCGGACAGTATTGAGAAAAGGAGATTTAATAAATATCTGGTTTTTAGACTCATCCATATATTTCATTTCTAAGTGCCATGTCTGTTTAGAAAAATATACAATTATTAGGATTTAATCATATAGTTACGTATGCAAGCAACAGATTTTGTAATTTATTCTTGGATACCTGTGTCATCAATGTATGTCTACATATGTATAGCCAAGTGCATTCGTGCCATCATGCTTTTATTGATTGACCTATTTAAAATATGTGGGTCAACGCGTAATTCATTCCAAGTCGATGTCATAAATGATTATTAAAAGTTGGTAACATTTTTCTTGCTATGCACAAAATAGAATAACGACTTTATTTCATGTTACTTAACATAATCAGGGTTTTCTAATTGTCCTTTTTTGTCATACAAGATTTTCTATATATATGTATATGTATTATCTATGGACTAGTCTGTTGCAAAAACCTTACTATCTAGACTGTGTAATAGGTCTGTTAAAAAAACCGGTCCGCGTGAGAGGGCTTACGTTGGTAGTGTGTCCCTTTCTAATTAGATGACAATGATAAAACAGAACACAGGGCAAATTGCTTATACTCGTAAAAACAATTTGTTTAAGTATCCTGATATACATATATTGATACTACGCTACCTATACCTACCTAAACTTATTGTGGGTAAAAAACGATGTTCTTGCTCACAATAAGTTATAAGTAATAAATTTATTATAAAAATATAGGTAATAATATTTTTTTAGAATCTACCTACTAACCCACGTATAGGGACGTGGGTTAAGGCTCCTCTGTTATACAATAGGTATTATCTGACATACCGTTAATTTGACAACAATCTTACAAACTTTTCACCCCATATAGTTGTTACAAAAAAGCTACATAATATTATTATTAATAGACGGGTTTTGAGCGCAGCGACGGAATCAAGAAATTCCGTAACGAAATAAAACCTAACAACCCCCCCCCCCCCCCCCCCCCCCCCCCCCCATTCCGCCTACCATGTACTCGTAGCTCGGCCGAGCGTTCGCTTAACGTGTATGTATGTGGTATGGTACGAAGCTCGCACGGATGGATGTTATAAAATTATATTATCATATGATGATATAATATTTAGAAAATATCAAGTCTCAAACTTATGTTTCTTATTTCATTATCTACACTTTCAATGATAAAAATTCCTGAATAACGTACACGTATTGTAAGATAATAAAAATATTTTAAACGATACTATCTTCTCATTTATTCAATAAAAAAAATGTTTTCTTAACGGTCACCACGCTCAAAAAGTGTAACTTAAATTAATATCAAAGAAAAAAAATACTGAATAAATATAAAATAAATAAATAATTATAATTGCATGAGTTGATATTAAATTACTGTTAGATCAAATTAACGTATTTCTAGACAGAAAAAAAGACTGATATTGGAATAATTTTTTATGCTACATATAGACCAAAATTGCCGACGTAAAAACTGAACAATACAGTTTTACGCAATTATTGTTGTAATGTAGCCTTATCACATACGTGCTTGATGTTAAAATACCTACTTAAATTTAAACTTTTAAGTCTTAAATTTAAGTATGTTTGACCAATACATTTAATCAATTTCAATTCAACAATTGTTAGATTCGTCAGAGCTTGGATGGTTAGGAAAAATGTGTTTAATTTTCGGGGGACAATTAATGTAGTCATATTAAGCATCTTTTTCACATTCAAGCTGTAACCAGGAGACATTACCAAAAAAGTTTTTATACATATTTACTACGTCGAACACAAATGTTGAAGCATATTTTAGCCCTCCTCTGTCTACAAAGGCTGTGAAAGAAGAAAATTGAATATAATTGAAAGAAAAATGAAATAGATTTTTTTTATGTGAAAAGTTGCCAAACTAGCAGACGGTTCACCTGTTAAGTGAATACCGCCGCCCATGGACATCTGCCACACCCGAGGGTTACAGATGCGTTGACAACCTTTTGAAAATTGGGCTCCGGCTACCTCACTCACCAGACGAAACGGGAAAGTATTTGCCATACCTTCACTTTACGCTGGGGTTCTGGTGAGGTCGTGGTACTTACCCGGACGGGTCTGCCCATTCGTGCAACAGCTGCGAGGCCCTACCACCGCAAAAGAGTTCATAATAATATCACTCTTATCTGTCTCATTTTCATTTGAAATGTTATTCTCTTCCACGATTTATCTTTTTGCACTTCGAAACTCTAATATTGCAGAATTTCCATAATCGGGGTTTGTGCAATTTGCATTAATGCTTGGTCTGACGCTGTTACGAAATAGCAACTTTCGCATAATAAACATAAACTGAAGGGCAGTAGGGTTGTCGTTTGCCCCACCCCTTGCTCTTACACATGAAAAAAAGCATTTCAATGTGGTCTTGAGAAGCCTTGAACCAAATCAGTTGCTAATTTGGCAAAACTGTATGTGTCATTATATTTTTCCTGTCGACTTTAAGTTCAGTCAAGTAATATATTGTTTCTTTGAAGACTTGTGTCCAGACATGTTTGTTGTTAATTAGCAAAAGGGATTTGAAAACCCTTTCCTATGAGATTTTTGGCGTTAAGAACATCAAACAGTCTGTTCAAGTACCGTAGGTATTATTCCACTGTGACTTGATATTTTTGAGATTTTGATTTAATTGGATTATCAAAATGAGTCTTCATATTGGCAAGGGTAAAATTGGCCCCCAGAATTTCAAAAGTTTTATATTTTCCGTGTTCCATCTGCTGTCAAAGACCTCACCACAATATTAATGTCGGCTAGTATACAAATCGCTATCAGGACGAGCTGAGCTTGTACGTGTGCGGAAATCTTATCTTAAATGATTTCATTGCATCTGAATATTTATTGTACGGATTTTGTCGTATTTAAACTTGTGTGAATGTTTTCGAAATTATATTGGACCATCTGTTCGACTTCAGAATAGTTAGCACACTTTTTTTTAATACTTTTAACAAACAGTTTAGGATATCAATGGTTGTATGACGTCTTTTCAGGAGTTGTTTTAAGACTTTGACGTTAGAGTTTAAGAAATTAGAAGTCATGGAACACGGTTTATAAGAGTAGGCTGGAGATGAACGTGCACGTGATCTTAACACGTGTACGAAGTTTTATGGAAATAGGTTCATTAGAATTATGTGAAAAGGCGTTTCAAGATTTGAATCTTCAAGGTTATTAGATTAGGTTAGACACGGATGATTTGCAGACTGAGGTTGGGCTCACTCGATATCGCCGAGTGAGAGCAATAGAGGCCATACGTCCGGTACTCAGTCGGTAGCTGGACAGGCTTCACGGCACCCTCACCTACCGGACGACGCAGGTTCCCTCGGGACTTGGCTGTTTCGGGAGGTACCAGTGCCACTTAGCGGGGAGAGAGCCAACAGTGGTTTGCCACCACTGCGACGTACGTGCCGAGGAGACTGCCCAACACGCACTGGAGGTGTGTCCAGCCTGGCGGGAGCAGCGCCGAGAGCTGAGGACTATCGTGGGGCACGATCTCTCACTACCCGCCGTGGTTCACGCTATGGTGGACAGCGAGAGCTCACGGGGTGCCATCCTTGCATTCTGCGAGGACATAATCACCCGGAAGGACGCCGCAGAGAGAGAAAGGGAAGCAAATGCCGCCTGAAATCCGCCGCCGGGGGCCAGGGCGCAGGAGGCTGGCCTACGCGCGCAACCTTCCCCCCTGATAACAAGCCCCGGGGCAGCAGATGTGGGACTAACTGCTGCCCCGCGGAGGGCTTGAGAGGGTGCCGTGCTTATTGCCCCGACAAGGCACCATTTGGCTGGACCGGGTGTCTAAACAACCGGGGAGAGGAGGCCTGAGAAGGCCACAGTCACGCCGGGGTTCGCGGAAGATTGCGTTTTCGTGTTCCCGTGTCCCCGGCGAACGACAGTGCAGGTGCAACGTGGGTTTTTTTAGTGGGTACCTCGTAACTCCCACATACCCCTGCTGCCTACCCACAAGGCGGCGGGGGCTCCATAAAGGATTTTTCCTACGAAAAACGAAAAAGACTCGGATGATTTATGCTTACCTTAGGAAATATTCACCGAACAGCATCAGATTTTAAGTTTTTAAAAATTAATAATAAAATCGTCACATTTAAAATGCGCACTGCAAACAGCAGACGATTTTTAGATTTTTCCAGGTACTGCATTTTTTCCACTTCAATTTCCAATTTTCATCTTCGGAAATGTACAATACAAGGAATATAATTACTCACATATATTAAGTGTCTGTTAGTAATATAAATTTGAGTTAAAATAGCGTAACCTTGTTAGGTGTAACTACCCAAAGGTGTATGCAGAGATGAATATCAACCACCAATTATGTTTAGGACCCATACGTAATAGGGGGCAAGTCAAAAGCTATGTTGTTTGTCGGATAGCATTCCCAACTTTGAGTTTTTACTAAGATTTGTCTATATTAGAAATTAGTTGACCAACCCAGCTTCGCCCGGGAATTTCAAATAATATTGTTACGAACACACAAAGAAACTAGCGCTATCTAACGTCAACCACTACGACCACTCAACGAACAAAGACAACATAAAACCGCCTACTCAATACTAGATGGCATTAGAGGAACTAGAGTGGAACTATAGTCTCGAAAACCGGGTAATTCGCGAACTTTCCAGAATCACGATCATGTTCGCGGTGTCGGGTACTTTCCAGGAAGAAACTTTCTGGATTAGTCTGGGACTCGCCTCGGTCCATATAAAAAGCCGCGGGGAGGCGAACGAGTTCAGTTCAGTTTGAGCTAACTTCGAGGCGACTTCGGAGTGAAAACTAGTGATCAAAAGCGATACCAGCGAAACCTACGACTTGGCTACAACCTAGGACATCGTCAGTGCTTAGTGTTTGGATCTAGTGCTTTGTGTTGGACCTAGTGCTAGTGAATAAAGTCTTCAAAAGAGTCAGCAGGTCTTTCCCTCCAAATCCTTCGAACCCTAACACGTAACAATATTTTACCCAAAACATCTCCTGATAATAACAAACACAATAAATACAAAATATCCAATTTCGCACAGTCGATTGAAAGTTATGTGCTTATATACCTTTCGGAGATTAATTTTTATTATAATATGTAAATATAAATATAATATACTAGCGGAACCAGTACTGTACACGCGACTTCATTCCGACCACAACTTATAAATTAAAACAAAAAAAAACCAAATGTGAATCTATAACATTCTCGAATCAATCTGAAGACACACAAAAAATTTCTTAAAATCGGTCCAGCAGTTTAGGAGTAGTTCAGTGGCGTACACACGTACAGAAGAATTATATATATATATATATATATATATATATATATATATATAATAATATATATATATATATATATAAAAGAAGATATAATAGTAGAGTTGATTATTATTATACATCTCCCAATAGCTACCCTAAGTGATAGATCTCATTTTAGCTGAACAAAAATGTTTGGTACACAATCTAGTTCGTAAGTATAAGATCTTTGGTCTGCTGTCAGTTAGGGATGCCGAAAGTTAAGTTTATCTTATATTAACTGATGCTTTCGCTCTCAGTCCAGAGACGATTAAAGTTTTATCTGACGCAGAACCAATGGGCTAGCCAAAACCCACGGGATTTGGGCTCTCCGCTGTAGGTAGGGCCGTGCATGTGCTCATAAAAAAAAGTTAAGTAACAGCCCATACATGTCCCACTGCTGGGCAAAGGCCTCCTCTATACAGAGGGTATCAGGGCATTGTCCACCACGCGGCCCCACTGCGGATTGCCGGACTTCACATATCTTCGAAATATATATATTTTTTTGTTTCATGTGTTATTATTTCGAAAATATGCAGATTTCCTCACGATGTTTTCCTTCACCGCGGAGCACGTGATAAGTCAGCACTTAAAGTTAAAATCTTCATTGGTGCCGGCACCGGGGATGGAACTCAGGTTGCTCGAGTATATTGAATTAAAGGCGAGCGCCCGGACACTGAGCTATCGCGAACTTGAATGTGCTCATGCGTGGGTTTAACTATGGTATGTCATCTAGGGGCCATCGAGGTTGCGGTTTGGACCGAAACCCCGATGGCCATCGACTGTGTAATCATAGATAAAGCTAATCGATGGCTTGGAGTGGTGAGAATCGCCCTGGAACGCGGGTGTACCTTGTGTATGCGTTGTGTTGGTCTCGCCGTGCTCGGAGGCGAGGGCAAGCTAATGTGTTTATTGTTACACAAGCTGTGGGTGTAATAATATTCGGCGGGACTTCCGACGGTGTGTCATACGTATCTAAGTCCCCTTCTTCGACCGAGTCGATGAGGACGTTTCGCGGGCGACGCTTGTTGACGTTCACGTCAGTGTCGGTTTGGTTATTTGCTGCGCTTACCACCAGAGGGTTGGGATGATGTTGGGCTCGATCGAAGAACCGTTTAGTCAGGTCTTTAAAATATTCGCGAATCGTAGAGTAAGTGAAGAAATAATATATCCTACCAATAATAAACTAAACTATCAATATCGGCTTCGACATATCGAAGAGAAAATATCGATATATTTTTTTTAAGTACTGTTCAAAAGAAAAACGTATGCCAAGAATTAAATATTTGAATGTACAGACTCTATCCCTGATTCGAATTTGAGAAAAATATCGTTTTTGATACGATTTCAATATTGAATATTTTATATCGATATATTGGATCAAAATTTACAGAATGTGTTCAATCTACAATAAACTTGCTAGCAGCAATCATTCCATTGGAAATTCTACCAAAAACTGAGTGCATTCAAACAAATTATCACATGCCCATAATGTGTTTTGTTATTTTCCCTCTCTTATTTTTATAGTTTTTTTTTTTTAATTTTGTTTTTTAGTAGTTTTTATTTATCGTTTTATTTTATCTAATTTAGATTAAGTTGAAAACTTTGTTGCCATGATATCGTAGCATGTTATGTACGCATAGTTTTGGCTAACAGTATGTAATTGTTTACCTTATTGAGTACCGAATAGAATAAAATAAAATAAATAAAATATATGGGCTTAAAATTTAATAATCATATAATAATATATTTAATAAAAATAGCCATATGTCGATATTTTCCTGCACCCATAGTGTGTATCCGGGATGAGCTAGGGAGGAGCAAGTAAATAAATATATCGGTATTTATCGTATCGGCATTTAAAAAAAATATCGATTACTATCGAGTGAAAAATATCGATATATCGTCAGTTTTCGCATGATTATTCATACATATTTAAAACTCGTTAAAAAGAATTTACGTACGTACGTTATACAAAAACAAGGTTGCGTTAAAAATATTAAAAGTAACATGAATTCGGTAGTCTAAAATAAATATCGAACATATATCACGATACAAATATCGATGACATATATCGATTATTGTAATATAAAATAGATATTCTTTGCCATGCCTAGGCTGAGCTGTGTGTCTTTGTCTGTGCGGTGTTCTAGGCTCTGCTCTAGGTCGATCGATCGATAAGTTTTAAGCTGAAGAGACTCAAACTCAACACCGCCGTTGATTTTGTATCATATAGGGAAATATTGCATACTCCAAGCATTATATTTATTAATTATAAAAAAAATATAAGTATAAATTAAAGTTGTAATCATGCGTCGTGAATTATGCTTTAAAGTAAGTAGGCGTTATTTTCGTATCATCCTCGAGCCAATTTTCTTAAATGAGATATAAATGCATTTTATATTATGAAATAATCGTGATACACTATGTTTGTAGACTACCTTATCTTTTTATATTAATCATAGGTTTTATTATCATATGAAATATTTTCCTATACTTTCCTGTTACTGATGGTTTCTTTTGCTTGGATTTATTGATCCCAAACCAGTGGCGTCAGGTGAAACTCAAAATGATTTGATTAAAAATTAGCACCTGTATTGATTGAGGTTTGTAGCTGGCTCGATAAGTAATTTTGACGTACGTTCTTATCTTATTATTAAAAATGTCTAGAAGAATCACATAATTGTTTTCTAATAGTAATTTTGTATATTACTTTTTTATTTGTTAATAGATATAGAAAACCTTAACACATTATAAAATGGGATCAAATGATATACATATATAGGTTAGACAATTTTATCTTTTTGAAGTGTGTACTACTTATAAAACATAGTCTAAAAACCCTTCTACCATACCAATGGAAGGATTTCTTTGTGGAGCACCTGGAGTGTTAAAATATAACACAAGGTGGACAAAATAAAAAAAAAGGGTAAATGTAAATAACTTTAACTCCGGCGTGATTCATATCAAATAAATTTTAAACGATAGAGAAAAATCACTTATGAATTTATCAACAAGCAGAATTCGGCGGTCGCTTATAGTTTTTGAAAAAATAAATAATGAAATAGTCTGATTTTTACTATAGAAATCCTCCATTTTTTTGTTGTCGATATGTCAATTCAGCTCGTATTTCTTGGTGGTCATAAAACAAAAACCTAACATCAAGGTTAAGCTTAACCTTCTAACCTAATCTATCCGAGTCGGATTCGCCCTGTGTCGGTTTTGTGACTCATTAAATAAAAACCGCCCGCTTCCTATATTTATCATGTTGGCAGAACTGTGTATTGAGTTTTTGAAGTCAAACAAATAAAATGGTGGATTTCTTAGTACAAAAAACAAGTGTTAAATATTTTTTTTCTCGAAAACTATAAGCGACCGCCAAATTCTGCTTGTTGATCAATTCATTAGAGATTTTTCTTATAGTTTTCGACAAAATAAATAAAGACAGTAGTGTGACTTTCATTAAAGACATTTTTTTGTTGTCAATTTGTCAATTCTACTCACGAGTAAGACATTGTCTGTTGGCAGCACTCTGTGTTGAGTTTTTGAAGTCAAATTAACAGAATGGTGGACTTTCTTAGTGAAAATAACAAGTTTTAAATATTTTTTCTCAAAAACTATAAGCGACTGCACATTTCTGCTTGTTTATTAATTCATTAGTGATTTTTTTCTTTTGTTTAAAATTTATTTTAATTGAATTACGCAAATGTCTTAGTTACTTACATTTGCCTTTTTTATATATACATACTTTTTCAGTATGTATATACAGCATGTTGTTACAACTGCAACAATAAATGAACACACGTCTAACGCTACTTGCCAATAATTATAAAAAAATATAAAACATTAAAAAATCCATAATTAAAAAATATATTTTTGAAACATTGAAAATTTAATAATAAACAAAATAATTAATTTTATAAAAATGTTAGCTTTTTGGCCATATCAAATAGATTTTAATCAGTAGAGATCTTTCTAAACATTTCGACGAAAAAAATTTTTGTGTCCAAATTAATTTATATTCCATAAAAATGTTTTGACCAATTTTCAAATGCATTTTCGCTTTTGCACCTCCATAAAGCTAGAGCTCTATACACACAGATGTCTTTGGATCTGTATTCAGGTGAAATTCAAGATAGAAATGAAAAAATATGATTAAAATAAGTATGCTCAAGTATTTTATAGTATTTTTTGTTTAAATAATTCAAAAATCAGGAGCATAATACTAAATAGATATTTTTCAATTTATAGTATATAGAACAAAATCTATAAATTCATTAACCTAAACAAAAATTTGAAGTAGTATCTGAAGTAACTTTTTATTAAATTTATGTATAAATTATTCAAAGGGTTAACCATTCCAGCAACATAAGCTTTGTTATATAATATTGGGGGGTGATCCCAAAGATAGTAGGGTGTTATCAAGAAAATCAAATAATTTTTTCTAAACTTGTTAGTCATTAGAAAGAAAGAAAGAAGAAATTTTTTTCAAATTTATTTTCTATACAATCTGAAACATTATATACTTTTAACTCATTATGTATAGAGGTAGATCCGAGAAGTTCAGTTGTAGCCAATTTCTTAATGTTTACTAAAGAAATTCCAAATTAGAAAGCTTGTATATGAATTACTGTACTGGTAATCATGCTGTAAACAAACTTTTAATTGAAAAATAGTATAGGATTCTGAAATGAAGGTAACAAGACAATAATTACATGACTTCTAACCAATTTATTGAATACAGGTGATTATTTTACCTACAGGTGAAATAATCACTTATCATATGTTTCACTTATCATACTTTTCACATTACAATTTTCAATACCATGTATGAACATTATATACTTATTAAAATTGAGTTTCTTTCAAATATATTTAGTCCTTCTTCGGCATTTTTATAATGCAAGGAGATTGCAAGCAAGCTAGCAAGTAGATCAACTAATTGTTAAGTGATAACCAAAGCTCGTGGAGATTTTCGATATCTGAAGGGTTGCAAATGCGTTGCCAGCTGTAAATTAAGTGGGTCCTGGTCACTCACCAAGTGCAATGCAGAACTGTAGTAATGTGTAATAGTGCAATGAAGTACTTCAGACTGACCATTCATACAACAGCGAAGAATATTGCGTGGCCCTGCCACAGTAAAAATATTATAAAAATGCAGGATACCTATCATAAAAATGTGCTTTATCCAAATGGTTATGGATCTCAAAGGTCTCATGGTCAAAATGTGTACAGGGTGGCTTTTCTAAAGGTGTCCAAATTCACACAGCAAGTTCAGACTTGGTAGTATAATCGTTTATTGAAATAAAAAATATTTTTCCAAAAAATTGCAATTATATTCCATAAAAAACAGAACTTGTTGACATTGCTGTAGTCATTCATAAATGCGTCGTATACTTTTGAAACGATCTTGTATGCGTGTTATGAATGATCGCGCGTAAAATAAATGAGTTGCCCATAAATCACACACTTTTTGAGATAAGTTCAAATGAATGTAAGTGAAAAAATAAAATAAAATAAAAATGTAATTAATTAATTACGAGTGATTTTAAATATTTATAATTTTTTATATAACATTATTTATGTCTAGAATTTAATAAAAAAAATGGATACACTAAGAAAACCCTCCCTGTATACCTACTGTATAAGCAGTCTACATATCTCTACTAAAAATTTAATATCTTTTTATATCTATATCTATTTATTTAATCTCCACTAATAATTCAATCTTACACCCATAATCCAATTACAGCTCTCTAGGTTCTTTAAACTTTTGGCTATAACTGTTTTGTTATATTTGTTTAAAATAGTATGTTTGGGGATACCAAATTAAATACACCTATTTCTTCATGCATTTTCATTTCTTTTGGGTACAAACATTAATTGATAGTATTTCTGGTAACTAACAGAAAGCACTTATTACTTTTACCTTATATTTTCACATTTATATTTTGTTTTTTATTAGCATTTTTATGTTTTATATTCATTGTATGTTTAAACAGGAACTGCAACTAACTAATTTACATATTTTATGACATAGAATGAGACTACTTATATGAGTAAAATTTGTCTATTTACATTATCATTAATAATAATAAACTGTACATTTAGCAATTATTAATATTATTGTTAGTGATTGTCTATTATAGAATTTTTTATGTTTAAAGAATTTGAAGTTATTCCTTGAACATCTATTAAAATGACAATTGAATGTTAAAATCTAAAATTAACTATTCAAATATGTAAATAAATAACTAATTGCAGTTGTATTTTTACAATTTAAAGATGTCAGATTTTCAAGTGTGAAACATTGTTACAGATATTTTTTGTTTTTCTATTATTTATTCAAAACTCTCATCAAGTTAAGAAACAAAAAACGCATTTGATAACGGATATAAAGGAATTTAAGGAATTCAAGAAGCTTCTTAGGACCAAAACAAATGTCTTGGTACTATTTTTGAATGCACCCAAGTCATCAAAGTCAATATCAGAGATATTTAGGGATACTGCTGATGCCATGAAAGGACGTGCAACTGTTGTCTCAATTAATTGTAGTAACAGGTATTTACTACCATATTGTAGTTGTGGTATGAAAGGGGTAAAAAAAGTAATAGAGCTCTGTAACATAGTTTGTTTTCCACTGACAGCTTTTCAATTTCAAGCTATGACATATTTTTTTTCCATTTCCATCATTAATAAGGGGTTTACCCATGAAATTCATTGAGTAAGTAATTAATTTGAAAGAATTTCCAGTATGAGTGTTCTTACTGCTTGATTATAAATTCAATATTTTATTATTATAGTTGAATAAATTCTAAATGCTTCTTTTTATTACTTTTTATGACCTAAGTGAAAGCAAGAAGCTTTGCAAGAAGTTAAAAGTCAATCCAGAAAAAGCATACCACATCAAACATTACAAGGATGGTGAATACCATAAAGATTATGACAGAAGTGAGACTGTATCAGCATTATCGAATTTCCTACGTGATCCCACAGGCGATTTGCCATGGGAAGAAGATCCAACAGTGAAAGACATATACCATCTCCAAGATGGGGAGGTGAGATTTTAACCATTTAAACACTAAGCTCAATTTTATAGTACTAGAACACATATAGTATATATTGTAATCTTTCAATAGTAATAAATCACAATTTTTTTTAAAAACTGGACCATAGTAAGTGTAGTCTCAATTAATTCTTATTCAATGATTGATGTTCAGGTTTTTACTTTGTACATAAAAAATAGAGCAAGCTCTTTAATTATTTAATTAAAGGCATGCAACAATATAAAATCAATTTATAATGTAAGATTATTAAGTTTAGTAAATGGCTTTCTTTAATGAGACTTAGTAAATGGTGTATGTAAGGTTATAAATATTGATTCAATAAGTTTCAAATAAAAATGTGCTCTATTAAAATTAGTTATCAATTTAGTCTGTGGTACCTAGTTGTATTTTGTGTAAAAGTTGTTGGGTAGTAAGTCCCAACAACCACTGTGGGTCACACAAATAGTTGTCTCATCTGGTACTCAAACCCTAACCTGACACTGGAGCCAATACCATGACAACTGTGTTACGGAGTCATCTGTGTTCCTATAGAACTTGAGCCAATATTTCTGGAAACAGGGTTATGTCACAAAATAAGATCATGTCAAATGCTAAGATATGCCCTTTAATTTCCGGTTTATAATTTATTTTCCACCGTTGCAGGCATTAACGAAGTTTCTTAGAAAAATTGCTGCAAACAAAAAGTCCTTGATTATGTTCTATGCGCCATGGTGTGGATATTGTAAGCTCCTGAAGCCTGAGTATGTGGCGGCGGCTGGTGAATTAAAGGTGTGATAAAAAATTAATTAATTTGTGTTTTAAGTTACAAGTTTATTTCAGAACTGTTCAAACTGTTTAATCGTTAAGCTGGTGTATATGTTGCAAGGGTTCAAGTGCTATGTTAGTGGTGTATATATTGGTAATGTGAATAAATTACATTTTCACTTTTATGCGCATAAATATGCACCAAGTTATTATTATGTAGTTGAAATATTATGTTTTATTCATATCAATTGTCCAAGCTGTGTTAGGTTCCCTTAAAATGTATGGTGTTAGAATAGCAAAGCTTGTAGTGTACCCCATGGTTAGTAGGTTAACATAGTTTTAGATGGTATATGTACTAACTAAATAAAAGCCTAATGACTCAAATTAATTTAATGTTTATCGAAGTTAATTTCTTTATGAAAAAGAAATTTGCCTATTAAATAATTTTGTCAGGCTTGCATAGTTTGTTTTTTTTCTTCGTTTTGGTTATAAATTAAAATGCACTTAAAAATTGTAATAATCGTGAATACTAATTAAATTTTTTCATCACTTTGTTTTAGGGCGAAGCACTTTTGGCTGCTATTGATCTTGCTAAACCGGGAAATTCTAAATTGAGGCAGGAGTATAACATAACTGGATTTCCAACACTTCTATATTATGAGTATGCATCATGGTGTTTGTTTTTATTTGATTTTGTCATGTATTTTACACATATAAAGAACCTAAAATAGTAATATTAAATATTTTTTCATATGAAACTATATGAATAAATAATCAGGGGATTAAAGCAGATTATGTATTTTATGTTAAAAGCTTGTAGACCAGCCGGTGGTTCACATGATGTTAAGAGGTCACCATGGCCAATGGGCATCGACAACACCTAACAGGTTGCAGATGAGATGCCAACATTAAAAAAATGGATCCCGGTTACCGCACTCAGACAAAAAGCGAAAGTTATTACACTACAAATTTATGTTGAGATAGATAGCTTGTGTGAAAACAGAACAAATTTCGTCGAAAGTGACAGGCTTGAGGATATGATGAAACAATGCTGAGCAATAATGATTCCTGCTTCTCTCGCAGTAAGGGTCAATATCGTTTCCCCTACAACGGGATCAACAAGCGGCAGGCGATCGTAGACTTCATGAGGGATCCAGATGCTCATATGGTACAGAAGGAGACAGTTGACGAAAGCTGGTCCAATGATTCCGAAGTGTTGTACTTGACAGGTAAGAGAATTTAGAATACATAAATACAGCAAAGAGGTCATGGGACTGAAACCAGGTATTATCATCATCAGCTGCAATACGTCAACTGTTAAATATAGAACATAGGCTTCCCCCTTAGAACGTTTGCATCTACCGGTTGCCCGCGACCCTTCGTCGGTACACCTAGAGGGTCTAAGACGTGGTCTCTAAAAGCTGGCCCTTTGTAGAAGCTCAGAGTCACATATCGAGAGCTATGCTCGGAGTTTCTTTACACGAAAATTCGCCGAAGAACCGGAGAGCTATGTCGGTGACATAGCTCTCCGGATTTGCTAGTAGAAGTGGCAGTGGGCTGGTCACATCGCTCGAAGAAGTGATAACCGATGGGGAGTTAAAGTTAGGTATTAAACACAGGGTTGTTTTTTTATGTCCAGGAGCTTATGGCTCATTCTATTATATTCTCATCATATTATACATCCCTATATAAATATTTATTCTAATTATGTTTTATATAAAAACAATAAAGAGTACAATTTGTATAGAATTTATATAAAAACTAAACTACATTTATTCTTAAAAAATTAGACAGATGGCAGCTATGGAGGGTAGGATATTGTAGGTTCTATGAAAGCCCTATAATTCGTATATTTTCTCACGGTAACATAGTGAAGAAAATACATTGATTTGTATCTATATTGAAAAACAATCCAAGCCCTATTTATCCAGATTTTCTTAAAGTATATTTGTACTTAAGTGTAATTGAATTAAATTAAAATAATTTAAAGGCGTAAGGCTTACTTATTATATAGGTGTAGTATTTATACAAATTAACTGCTAAAAGTGACAGCCTCATTTGTGCTCCATTTATTCAGATGAGGCTGATATGGCCGATCTAAATGAAGGATAGTGGATAAAAGTCTAAAATCTTTATCTTTAATAGTATGTTAGCAGTACAACGTTACAAGTTAATTAAGTCTCTATATAGCCTGGTGTAAAAGAAACTTTGTCTTTGATTTTATCCATCGGAAACTCAACACGAGATTATACATGCAAGAATATTCAGCTTATTTGTTTTCTTCATAATTTATTAATTTTCATAACATTTTTTATCGAGCGCATTTAAATAAGTTAATGGCACCTGTGCACAATTCTTCTTTCATTATGACTGCTGTACATTATATATTAAATGTCAATAGTGACATTTTCTGTGTCGGTATCAGAAGAATTAAAGTAATCGTTAAATTTCGCTAAAACTCAACAATAAAATGCAACCAATTATCAAGATTTTGAAATCGCTGAAAATTAAAAACATACTGCGAAATGAGATAAAGTTTTTGTCTAATTCGTTTCGTAAGTGATTCGCACTATATTCCGTTATATCGAGATCGACTCTTAACTTTAAGGTGGAGGACGTCCAGACTTATTTAGTTACATGTCTATTTAGTTAACGGCAAAAACTCCGAATAGTAAATAAATAGTATTGCATTTACCATAGTATTTTTTAGTTATTTAGTAACAAAAAATATAGTTATTTATTAGCTTCTGCTATTGTACGAATGGGGAGGCTCGGCCGGGAAGATACCAGGCCCTTACAGAAGGCCAGAATGAAGTGTAAGCATCAGATATTTGCATTTAGCCCGGTGAGTGAGGTAACCGGGGCACTGTTTTGCCAACTGATCTACTACGGCTCTGCTGTCAGATGTCCACGGTAAACCTGATATAATCATTTTATATCGGGTGAACCGCTTGCTTGTACAACCACTCATCCCTATCCCTACTATCCCTACCAATATTGTAAATGTGAATATATGTTTGTTTGTGACGTTTTCACGCCAAAACTACTCAACCGATTATCATGAAACTTTGTGCACATATTCTGAGCGGTATTGAAAAGGACATGGGATTCTATTTATTAAATATATATATATATATTTATTTAAGGGCTTCAACGCGAACGAAACCGCGGCGGATAAAAGCTAGTATATAATTAAAAATAAGTAGCTAACTGTGTGACAATAATTTTTGCACAAAATTCGCGTGTTCAGTAATAACCTTGTGTCGGAATTCGTACAATATGCGAGTGTAAAAGCTGGAAGGGTATTTCATTGTGCACACTTCCCTTCGCCCCAGAGAGTACGTTCGACGACGTACTTTCGAAGGCGGAACACGCGCTAGTCGTCTTCTACGCGCCCTGGTGCGGCCACTGCAAGAACATAAAGCCCCAACTCGAGAAAGCCGCCGCGAGAATCAAGAGCGAAAAGGTACCGTCTCACTTTTCTATTTTATTAACATAAATATAAATACAAATACAAAATACAAAAGTACGATACTCTTTGTTCTAGGTAATTCAACAGAAAATTGATCTTAATTTTTTTTTCCTTTCACTTATGTGATTATGCCTGTGCTATGTCGAATCTGTTTGATAACCGAACCACTTCTTACTGCTCGTCTACATAAAAAAAATCGTAATAAAGGAAAAAATTAACAAGAATAAGAACACGCACGGTACAATACCTCGGTATAGTGCTGATTCGCATTCGAAACAATTGTCGTAGATTCACATAGAACGCAGATAAATGTTTCGGATCTCGGTGTTTGTCCACGAGAAATTTAAGTTAGTTATTGTTAGTTCTTACAGTGAGGGCAACATTCGTTTAAAGGACAAAAAAGTAAAAAAAAAATATACACAACGCGTACACAGCGCTCCGTTAAACGGAACAATATTCGCATGGACGAGTCTCAATGTGTAGTTTTTTTTTTTGTATTTTTTGTTGTTTGCACGTCGCGGCCGATCGGGCGAGCCAATTGGACCGTCTTCCAGGTCAACGGGATACTCGCCGCGGTGGACGCCACCAGGGAGCGCGAGCTGGCGGCGCTTTTCGGCGTGAAGGGCTACCCCACCCTGAAGTACTTCCGCTTCGGGAAGTACGAGTACGACGCCGGCCACGCCCGCCAGGAGGACCAGATCGTCCAGTTCCTGAAGGTGACGCCCCCTTTGGGACTTTCCGTTGTGGTGGCCCATCGCGGCCTCCGATGTTGCACGGGCGGGCGGACGCGGTCCAGATGGAGGGGGGGGGGGGGGGATTATGATCCACTCTTTTAAAGGCCGGCAGTTAGAAGCGATAGAAGAAAAGATACCTTTGTCCTAGTGACTATATAGTCTTGCTTTTAAGCACTAATAAAAAGAATAGATAGGGAGGTTTGTTTCTTGTGAGACTGAAATCTACTAGTAGACGTCGAGTGGTTAACAAAAGAGTATATATGCGTGTGTGTGTGTGTGTGTGTGTCAAATACATGGTAGTGTGTGTAATGTTTATTTCATTGATTTAATGTATTTTGTATCCAAAAAAAAAAAAAAAAATTATGCATGAACTTCTGCATGAGTGAGTGCAGAATGTGGCACTCGTTCTCTGTAAAAGTGTGGGAAATTTTATACTCCTCCCTCCGCGCAACTTTCGAATTAAGGGGTACAAAGTTTTTGCTTCACATATAATCACAAGTAATCTATAATGATCTCATGTCCTGGTTCAAACAGCGCGTTATATTCCGGGTTGGCCATCATCCATGTGACACTTTTATTGTCGCCCACGGCCGAGTTTCGTGACGCCTATGGACGTGACGAAATCGCAGTCGATTCGGTAATGCCGCCGCAATGTGCAGGACCCGCGCGAGCCTCCGCCGCCGCCCCCGCCGGAGAGCTCCTGGTCCGAGGAGGAGTCCGTGGTTCGACACCTGACCACTTCCAACTTCAAGAGCACCCTGAGGAAGATCAAGCACGCCCTCGTCATGTTTTATGCTCCATGTGAGTTTCCTTCCACTGTGGGCGCTTTGGTTTCGGCGCCGGGGGTCGTGGTTTCGATGCCCACGCGAGACAACCATTTGTGTTACCCATAGTTAGTCGATTCGGTATAATATAATTCGCTACGTTTCGGTAATATACTTTGCCCCTTCTTATCTCACGTTCTCTACCGTGGACAACGCCGATAATTATCGTAATATCCTTAGCCTTCACTTGTGTTTCGTTCTCTACCGTTGATACTGACCAGTAATATACTTTGCCTCATCATGCGTCGCGTTCTCTATTGTCCACAAAGCTATAAGATAATGTTCGGCTGTATCCATTATCGCCCCCCGCCGTTCTGGAATGTTCCATCGCCGCAGGGTGCGGCCACTGCAAGAACGCCAAGCCGGAGTTCACCATGGCCGCGGAGCACTTCTCCGACGAGCTGAGCGTCCTGTTCGGCGCGGTCGACTGCACCAGCGAGGCGCAGCTCTGCCAAAACTACGAGGTGGCGGGCTACCCCACGTTCAAGTACATCAGCCACTACGACAGGGAGCTGATGAGCTACGAAGGCGGACGCAAGGTAGGCCCCAGACAGAGATTAGGCCTTCGGGACTATAATTGTCGTTCTCTAGAACGTTTCACCGGCTTAACACGGATCGAGTCGTGCCGTCGTGTGATTTGTGCGAATCTCCTGTATGGAAATCCCGTTTTGGGACGTGGTAGCGTCGATTGCGGGGTAATGGGATGTGAATAGAGTTGATCAAGTCATCTATATAAGTCTACTTTTAATCAACTAGCGAATGCACATCAGAGAAAACATGATTTGAGGTTTTGAACAGAAAATCAATTCTTCAAACGTGTATAAAATATGCCTAATGGGTGATGTTTTCGACGGTAAGACTAAAATAGGCCCTTACAGGTCCGACCCGTTCCACGCAAAATGCAAACGCCCGTGTTCGATTTTAACGTTCAAAGGAAGCGGATTTCATCGCGTACATAAACGGGCAGCGGGGCGTTCACGACGCGCCAAAGAGGCGCCTCCCCACCAACCAGGAGGCCGGATTCGGGACCAACGTGCAGCTCGCCACCGACGACTTCTTCGAAACGATAATCGCTGCACCGATGCCCACCTTCGTCATGTTCTACGCCACCTGTGAGTTTTACTCCTTCTCATTTACCGTATATTGAATTAAAGGCGAGCGCCCGGACACTGAGCTATCACGGCTCTAGTAGTCTACTAGTAGCTAGAGTATTTATTCTATATTACACGGAATGTTTACCATGTTTTTTTTTTTAATACGCTTGTGCACTAAAAATTTCCTACAATGCAATGTACTCGTTCTTGATCCATAAGCATTGTGTACACACCGTTGCACTGGACATCTATTGCGATGTCTACATCGGGCTACGCGATGATACATCGAACTACGCGATGTCGACATCGGGCTAACCGATGACTGCATCGCGCTACGCAAAGCCTACATCGGGCTACGCGATGTGAACATCGGGCCATGCGATGTCAACATCGGGCTACGCGATGTCAACGTCGGGCTATGCGATGTCAACATCGGGCTACGCGATGTCAACGTCGGACTCCGGCCTGGTGCCCGAACTGATCCCCGTGCCGTTTCCAGGGTGCGGCCACTGCTCCGAGGCGAAGCCGGCGTTCAGCCGCCTCGCCACTCGTATGTTGGAGGAGGGGGGGCGCGTCAAGGTTGTCGCCGTGGAGGCGTCCGATAACCCCAAGGCGGCGGACTTCGCCCAGGTATATATACACACATACGTACGTATATATACAGGGAGATTTTTAAGAAGTGCCCAAATTTACACAGGAGGCTCAGACTCGGTAGTATAATCGTTTATTGAAAGTATATATATATATATATATATATATATATATATATATATATATATATATATATATATATATATATATATATATATATATATATAGCTTCTGCTGTTGCACGAATGGGCAGCCGCGTCCCGGCGAAGTGCCGCGTCCTCACTGAACACCGTCGCTAAGTGGCCAGCCTGTGCAACCCGCCAGGTGTTTAGGTGTGATGTCCACGGGCGGCGGTGTTCACTTACACAGCTCGATGAGTTTTCACACGAAACGAAATGAATAAAGGTGCAGACGCTGCCCACGTTCAAGATGTACGTGGCCGGCGCCCACGTGGCGGACTACCAGGGCGACAGGAGCCTGGAGGACATGCTGCGCTTCTGCATGCACCACTTGACCAGGAGGGACGAACTGTGATACATGCCCGCCTCGACGGACACTCCCACAATCGAGTCCATCCTCCGGGCGATACGCGAACTCGATACCGTGCGGACCCCATCGCCATTGGATAACTATGTCCGGGAGTGGGTTGCCGCCCAATTTGCGTATTACTCCGATCTGTACTGGTACACATCCCTCATCATGCATCTGATTACGATCTTGAGCATAATCTCGGTATTGTTTCTGTCCCGAATGGGTCTGATTTGAGCCCGCCCGGCGAGTGCTCCGATCGAGTCTGCTTACGCAACATACGTTACTCGTAAAAATACACACATTATGCCAATATAATATCAATTGTAATCCCATAGTTCTTTAATGAATTTGATAATACTTAAAATGTTTATGCTATGTCATTGTACTTCTGATGTAATAGGTAATAATAATACACACAAATAATAATACACACATTATGCTAATGTAATATCAATTGTAATCCCATAGTTCTTAAATGAATTTGATAATCCTTAAATTTTTATGCTATGTCATTGTACTTCTGATGTAATAGGTATATATTGCATTCAGTGGATTGGGAATGGCAATATTTTTGTAGAGTAGAAGAATCTTGTATATTATATTCGCTCTGTCTAATCGATGTGTAAGCTGAAGATGAATTTTAAATTAATTATGGGTTTAATACAAAATTATGTTTTTTTTTATCTTTAATCAAGCTTTATATGTTTTACTTTTTGTTTTTTTTTCATCACTGTATTTATTGTATTATTATTATTATTAATTACTCATATTAAAACAATAACTATTATAAAACCATATCACACTGCATGCTAAGGTTCATATGATAATACTCATTCATAACAATTATACATACGAAAGTGGCAAAATTAAATGTTCTGTTTTCCTCAATTTACGATCGCAGACGTCTTATTAAAAGCAAAAATGTTGCTACCATTTTCAATGTTAATTTTCTTTACGGTTAATTTCAAAATACGAAATAGGGTTGCCAGTTGAAACTAGCGTTTGGTTTTTGATTTACAACTTGTTTACGTTTGCGATTCGCGTTTTAAAATTTACTTACAAGTCGTTAGATTAAAATCATCTTAGTGGAACGACAATCTTTTACGTTACATTCGGAAATCATCCGCTATGTACGTATATAATTTGAAAGTAGTTTTTTCCAACGTATTTAATCTGGAATCTCTGATATCTCATCCAAGAAATTATTATGTATTATTTACTGTTTCTTTTATCTGTTTTCTATATTGCTTTTCAATGCTTCATTGATAACTTTCACGATCAGCGTTTTGTAAATTGTTAAATTTTTCAAAGCGGATGCAATTTTATCCAAACATCTATTTTTTTTATTGTTTTATATGATGAACGTTATTAAATTTTGCGTTAACCTTTGCAATTTTAGGAAATATGAATTTTTACTTTGTCTCGTAATTTTAAAGTCATTGAAGTAGGCAACTATTTCAAAATTACTTTGGGAACATATCATAGGCACTTGGCACACCCGGCGACTAAAAGACCACTGACATTCCTATCTTTTATTTTTATACAATTCATGATGTAATTCCTATTTTTTCATTAAAAAAAAATTACACGTGTTATATGACATTTTGAAATACCTCTTTATATAATGTTTAATTATATCACGTATTAACTGAAGACTGTTATGAAGTTATGAATTTTTGACTGTTACGTAATATTTAATACGTAACGCCCGGTTTCTGAAACACTGATCAACGGAGATGTTTATTAACCAGCTGTCAAATAGCGTTTCAAATGTCCTTTGAGTCGCCAAAAGATGGTTAAACTCTTTGAATTGATCATACTGATCATTAAGAAGATCGTTCTGGTCAATTCAGAGAGTTTTACCATCCTAGGAAACTAAAATGAAATTTGAAAAGCCATTTGACAGCTGATTAGTTAACATCTACGATGATCAGTGTTTCAGAAACCGGGCGTGTGTCAGCTTTAGCATATTTAAAGATAGCATCGATGAGTCAGACTTAAGAAATTTACCTAATATAAATGAACAATTGTACTTTACTGAATTTATACTATTCCTGTAACCGAGTATATTTGCTAAAGTATTTTGGTAGGGATCTTTTTTTCCTTAAATTAATTGCTTTAAATCACAGTTTAGAATATTTTTTTTACAATAGTATCTCCATCCGACTTCAAAGTTTTTAGCATTGGGAATTAATTACAGAAAGGGTTGAAATTTTGTCGGCATTTCCTTTGTGAAACTTTACTTAGTGAATTTTTATGTAGTATATTTTATTATTGCTTATATAATTTGTAATGTCTGGTTTACAAAGATCTGTTGAGATTTATTTACGCTTCTTAGTTTTTAAATTTTTGGAAAAAAAATATCGTATATAATTTTAAATGATTGTTGAGCTGTTATTTTATGGTGATATATAAGAGTATATGAACTTGATTGTTTATAAAATTGTCTGTTGTCAATTCGGCAGTTATAATGCATTTAAATAGAATAAGCAAATGTTGCTTATTCTATATAAATGCATTGTAACAAAATGATTCTTGTAATTTTAAATATAATACTGTAAACAAAAAAAAACCTAATAAAAGGTTATTCGTAACCGTCATAAAAATGTCTCAGTGAATCGTACACCTGTGTCAAATTTTCATGTTTCTAACGGTACTGTGTTTAGCTTGAAATATTAGACAATAATTCATAAATTGATAGATTCTATAACGTTATCGTAGTCAGTACGTATAAACTTGACTTTAGAATATCGTCTCAATTTAATTTTTATATTAACACCGTTAACGTATAAAGCACGTCAAGTCAACTCTGATTTTTTTTTAAATATTTTGTGATGTCATTTTACTACTGGTTCAACCCTACCTGGCCCACCTTATTGATGAGAAAATGGCGTTTTCCGTCGAAGTTTTGTATTGAAGGTAAATTTAATTACATCTCTTGCCTGTTTGATAATAAATATGAGATTAAAACTACGACTGGATCCACTCCGAAGCCAATATATCTTTTTTTTTTCCTGTGAAGCTAACTTAAAATATGTATCGTGAAAGTCATTCTCTAGGTTATAGATGTACTGATTGTCATATCAAAATACATTTAGCGTTTTAAAAATTGTACTCTACGTAACTTTAGTGTCCCTGATCCATGCAGTCTGGTTTCAAGATTTGAATGATTGATAAATGATCCTTTAGTATATAGGTATATTCTCTTATTGATGGAGCGTATTATGTTTAGCCGATGCGATTTCTAAGTGTCATTTGATTGTGTTAATTGTGGATTTAAATAAATATATTAAACATCAAAGGATGTTACGGATAAAGGACTGCGCACTGCATATTGTATTTACGGAATAAGGTATATTAACTTAACCATATCTTGCATGATATCGCTGATTTTATGAAACAATAAATAATTTACATCTACGAACCGCCTTCTTATTAATATTCTCCCTATAATCCACAGACTTTAGTTTGATCGGTTGAACTGTTAAGAGTTACCTGCATATATTACCTGCGAGTAAATTCCACGATAGTCCTTTAATATTTTATTTATATTTCATATAAACATTATTTAATTTATTCTAGGTATGTGATTTGGTACAAATTTTAATAGTATAGAAACAAATTAAAAATCGTTAATTGTTACTAGTTCTCATCTCTCGCTCTACTGACAGTGACAAATGTCACTGTCTGATACACTAGAGTTCGAAAACGTTTAACTCAACTGATCAAAGTAAGCGTACACAGAACCAGTATGAAAATAACCAAACCAACAAAACTGGCCCATAACAACATTTATTGGTGAACGGACTAAGCTTTTGTCGAATCACACGTGCCGCTTTCACATGGGGAAATGGCTGCCTTGCCACCTAACCGCCTAATCGGCCGTGCGGCCGGCGCTACTGCTGACGCTACTAGACGACGCGCTCTCAGAGCCGGCGCGCCGGCGGCTGCGCTGCGGGCAGTACCGTTCGAAGGAAAAGTGCGCGACCAGCAGCCCGATGAGGGCGCCGGCCGCCACGTCCTGCCAGTGGTGGCGGTTGTCGCACACCCGTGTGGCGCTTATGATGGCCGCCATCGCGAACGGTATGGGCCTTACGAGCGGCGGGGCGCGCCTCGCCATCCGCCGCAGGAACAGCGCTAGGTAGCCGAGCGAGCAGAAGGCGAAGCTGCTGTGCCCGCTGGGGAACGACTTCCTCCCGTCCGCCACTTCCCTCTCGTCGCCGGTGCAGCGCCGGTCGGCCGTCACCACGCCGTCCGGGTAGCAGCGGTAGAAGAAGTCCGGCCGCGGCCGGCCCACCGCCAGTTTGAGCGCCTCCGTGGTGACCGCGTTCGCGATCAGCGCCAGATTCCAGCCCAGCAGCCCGCGCAGCGCCCCGTCGTGGTGCCCCAACAGCACTTGCGACGAGATCGCGAACAGCGGCACGAATATTATGACCGCTACGACGGTCTGCATGTGCACCCGCGACTCCCGCCGCGGCCGCCTGTACTCCGGACGCAGCTCCGCCTCCGTGATGTAATGCATCTCCGGTTCGAATCTCAAATGGAGCACGCATAGGAACAGCAACAGCAGCGCCCGGATCGATATCTCCGTGAAAATGTTCCATGCGAGGCTCGACGTGTTGGACCACATAACAGCAAATTGACGTTCATTATGCAGCTTTTGACAAACGCCAAAGTGACGGAAATTTTCTTCTCCTTAACGATCTTTAAAAATAATGACAAATTACAGTTATGTGGATACAATCTCAAATGAAATTTCAAATGATTTTGTCGTAATTAAAGACAGTCCATAACTATGGAATATGTAAAGTATTCGTTGCGAATACTCTATAGATACCAGATTTATTGGGGGATTTAAGTTAGTTTTATTTTAGTAAAATTTTACAAACAATTGTAAGATGTAAGGATTTTGTAAGATGTTTCACATAATACGACAATAAATTAATCTCATTTCTCATTTGCGGACAATCACTAAGCAGGATTATTTTTAGGATGCAAAGCATAGTTCATTTCTTCTTAAAAAACCATAAATGGTTTATTAAAACATTTAATTGAATTGTTGCCAGTAACGGCATTAACCCCATCGGTTTAAAATAACCGACTACGAAACATATTATCTCAATAGTTCTAGAAACCCCCATAGGTATGCAGGTTGTTCGGGTGTTGCCAGATGGACGATAGTTGTTTCTAAATAAACATGTAGGTATAAGTGAAAGTAGAAGGGGTAAAAATATATTGTGTAGGATGACCACGCAGCAGCTACGAATTTTGCACGAATGGGTAGGCTCGTCCGGGTAAGTACCACGACCTCACAGATCGCAGAGGACATCTGCAGCCTTCGGGTGTACCGGTATTCAATTAACATCGGGTGAACCGCCTGCTCGCTTGGCAACTTTTCACATAAAAAATATCTCGTTTATTCGAGACATATCCGCCTAAAAACGATATTTATACGATAACTACACATTTACGCGTAGTTGGCTAGTGGATTGCGTAAAACATATTTATCGACGAAGTGATAAATTCCGGACGCATAATGTAGATACAATCACAAGAAAACAACTCACAACTGGTTTCCTCTCACTGCGTCTAACATAAATAACTATTTCCGCGATTTATATAAACTTATTTTATATTTAATATTATATATAGTCAAGCATTGGTAAGTTCGTAATTTTTGTTTGCAATTTTCAAAGATAGCAAAACGCAATAACTACATCCAATTAACATCTTTTTGGTTGGTTCAATTAAACTTGCTTACGGTATTTTCCTTTTAGTTAATTTTAAACGATTATGTATTATAACGTAAATGCATCGTTGGCTCTATATGATACAGAAAATATTAAATGAAAATATACACAAAAGTGGGCCAAACCATTACGCTCGTGTTGTTAAAATGTGGTATTGTTTATGAGTCATTTGAGAAGCTACTTCAAGAAATCTGTATAAAATGAAAACATGCATCATGAACATTATAGGAAAACCTGTTGAATAACGACTACACCTATACTAAATTAAAAAAAACAACGTGGGAACAGTAGAAAGAGGTTTTGATAATATTAACTTGAAGCTGACGAAAGCGCTGTAAAGTAGTGCCGTATTATGCTGGAATGGCTCTGTGGGTCGGGTGACTGGTTTAAGGTGGTGGTTCCGAGCTTCTTGGTTGTTGGGGGTCTGTTCCGCGACTGGGCTTTCTATCGAACCGCATGTATGTATAACTTTTATCCTACATTGGGGTAGCACTTAACGTAGCTGTTAATAATCACAGTAACAATAGAATCCTTACTAATATTATAAAAGCGAAAGTTTGTATGTATAGATGTTTGTTACTCTTTCACGCAAATACTACTGAATGGATTTTAATGAATCTTTACAATAATATAGCTTATTCATCAGAATAAGATATAGCCTATAATTTATGTACATTTTTTCATGTATATCTGTCTTTCTGACCGAATGTTACACCTTCAGCCTATTCTACGCAGACCTAGTCGCAGGCAGCAGCTAGTATTATAAATGTGAAAGATGTAAGTTTGTTTGTTACGCTTTCACGCCAAAACTACTCTACTGATTATCATGGAACTTCGTACACATATTCTTAGAGGTATTAAAAAGGACATAGGATCCTTTTTATTAAAACAATATATTTAGAAAAAGATATTTAATTAAGGGCTTCAACCCGAGCGATGTCTCGGTTAAAAGTCAATGTAATCCAGTGTCAATACTGCCTAATGGCTTAATATTCACTGACCATTTCGTTACCAATTTGGACCACTTTTTTTAGAGTTATATCTTCATTTGGGGTAGTTATTAGTTGTAGCTGCGTTCAACGGCATTTCGATGTGCATGTAACAACACCACTAAGTAAACGAATTCTCAAAATTACCCATGTATAGACAGGAGATTTTCGGATATTTAAACCAGGATCAGGATGCCTTAAAGTGAAATAAGTATACCGAATAACTAGCATCGTGTTCCCGTATATCCGTCGCGAATATTTCAAATACGAATGATACAAACGCCTCTCAAAATGTTGACAGACCAGACTTTGAGACGTCGGAACTTCATTCCGATGTACTCAAGTGTTGCTCATTAATCCGCACCATGTGAAACGATATTCCAATCCACATTAGGAATGCAAGGCCTTGGGACCTAGAACTACACTCCAAGACAGTTTTAATTAATTGTTGCATTACTCAAATTACGTGAAAGTCGTAACTCATCTTCAAAAGCCTAAATAAGTAATCATTGTTATTAAATGTTCCATAATTAATTAAAACTTGTTATATAACTAGTAGCGGCTATTTGGAGCACACGCAGTAATTTTTTTAGAAAGTGTTAATTAAACTAAGTGTAAAAGAAAAGCGTATAAATTATTTATTCGAAACTTATCGCTAAATAAACGATAGTTTGCTCGATTCCACCGATTCCACTGATAGTTGTTATAAATACTATGACGTTTGGGCTCTCGCATGACCGATCGTTATAAAGAAGACTTACAATTAACAGCTTTACCGGAAACTGTTTGAATACGACGACAGCTGTAAACGCAGAATGTTCAACATGTTTTTACTTTTTAACTAATTGGTACTAAGAAAAGCACTTACGTATTGCAATTCCCACTCAATCTCATCAACGTGACGTATCAACTGAGAAATGGTAAATTTGGTAACGGGAACAACTGCAAGGTACTTAGCAGTTTTTTTAACATAATACTTCCGATAGACAACCCACTATTGCACGACACACCTCCGGGGGAAATTAATGTAAGATTTAGATATTGCATAATGTACTATTTGTTTTCATAATTGACAAAATGCCCATCAGAGTAGGATGAAATCATGTTAAACACATATTTGTATTATGAGCGATGAAAATTTTGAAGTTCCACGCAACCTTCTTAGCAAATAGGAAATTATTTTCTATTTGAAGTTAATGAATTAATGAATTAATTTAAAACATTTTATATTATGTTGATTGAATATTTTTTAGCGATATACTACTGATATTTAATCAACTTAATGGAACGTTATCATATTATATAGCATTAAATTAAAATTCTTTGTACATAAATGAATAAAAACTTTCGACGCTGCGGAATTCGAGCCTGCGTCTTCTGGTTTCGCGTTTATCGTAATTGAAAGTTTCAACTTAAGCGCACTAGCACTAAAAAATAAAAAAAAAAATAATCATAAAATGTAATATAGCATTTTAAATTAAACTCCGTTTGGTCTTAGGATTTACTTAGGATTTAGTTTACGGCAAATTGTCTCACGAATCGTTTGTATTAGTATGCGGTATTAATTCTTGGGCGTGAACGCTGAACGTTGCGGTATGTGTTTTATGCCGGAGAGAGGTACGTACCACAGCAGCGGCGGTCATCGACTGCTTGAGTGCTGGGCGCGGTGCGAACCGGAAGCGCGGATGTGTCTTGAGTTCGCGGTGGTATTTGAGCGATGTCATCCTGACTCCATGTGATAAATATTTAATGAAAAGAATAATCCCACTGTAGATCAGCAAAATATAAATGTCTTAAACTCGGAAACAACGATTTGATTATGGAAAATGAGATGGCGTAACGTATGCCGCTGTAGTTAGTCAAAAAACTAGTTCGCCCTCGCTTCCGAGCACGGCGAGACCAACACAACGCGTACCGAGGTTCTCACCGCCCCCAGCCACCGATTAGCTAATTGCACAGTCGACGGCCATCGGGGTTTCGATTCGAATCGCGACCTCGAGTGCCCCCTTAGATGACGCACCATAGTTAACATCATAGCATAATAGTCTCGGAACTGAAAGCAAAATCATCAGTTAGTACAACAAAGTTAAATACAAAAGATTGCATTTTGAAAATGCGTTCGGTATTGCAAAAATACCGAAGTGTGGCTGATTCGGTTAATCTTCATCTTCCTTCTTATTTCTTCCTCATGTGTAATTTTTGGTTTTCTACGAAACCTCATGTTTGGATTGGATGGATTTGGACACCCACTTGTTGCGTTCGTGGGTTATAACTTTTAGCGTCGAGGCAGAATATCTTCCAATTATGTGGATACGGCCAGTTCCCATAATTGGAAGATGTTTTACCAAAGTGAGACAGATTGTCCTTTGAGCTCGTTCTCTTCCATTGCTCCATCTCCTTTATTGTTGCTTTTCACTTTGCTTTTGATAACATCATGCTGTACTTCGCCATAATAAAGTTCGAATTGTAACTCCATTTCCAGTCGTGAAAGGGTTATTCCTTGATTGGAAAGCGATCAAAACATGGTGAATGATGTATGAGAGTAGCGCTTATTTGGTGTTCTGATTCTTATGAACAAAGTGGCTTGCAAGAGTGGTACATTAATTTATTAATTCGCGAATCAGATGAAAGTTCGCCATTAGAGGTTTAAGCTCTAACGCCCTCAAATAATAAAAAAGGTAATATTGAATCACGGAAGAATTATTGATCCTTTGATTTTTGTTTTGAGTTTGTAGCGAAAGTCAATCAAGAAATGCAAAAACTTAAGTCTGATCGAAATAAATTCAGAAGCGAAACTATTGGAGCATATCAATGATTTGAATATGATTATTTTGAATATGATTATTTTGAATATAAAAAGTGGTTCCTTTCTACTACTACTAAAACTTTCCACATCCAAGTCCTATGTTAAGTTATGTAACATTTATTTAAGACACGAAGTTAAAATTAACAATTTCATTGGTGCCAGCACCGGGATTTGAACTCAGGTTCCCGAGTATATAGTAGTAGATTATTGAATTAAAAGCGAACGCCTGGACATTATCACGGCATCACGATCGATTCGTATGGCAAACGCAGCTAATTAGCAACCGAACCAACCATGTCATGTCCTAATCGACTCGGTTAAAAAGTGTACAAAAGTATTCAGGTCCCGTCCGACGACAGAATACACATAAATAGTGGACCAGTTCGTCGTCAATTACGAATACGGCGAAACCAACTCGTACATAAGGTACATTCACGTTCAAAGGTGGTTTCTACCGCACCCAGCCAACGATTAGTACAGTACGTCCACGGGGGACACTATAGATGACAATTCCGCCCTCAGTAGATAACGCACGCATGAGCACAGCGGCCCAACACAGCGAGGAGGGTCAAGCTTGCGAAATCTGGCCGTCACACGACCCGATTTCGTTGAAGCTTTAATAGTCTACGGACAGAAAGCGAGAACATCATTCAATAAAGGTAAAGATAACCAATCTGGCACGAGTGAGCGAGCTGAGACCGGCACTGATGGGTGCGCCGGATGTAAAATTATTACGAACGACACCGCGCTTGCTTTTATGTTTATTAGAATATTCATAAAGCGTTCTCGTGTTATATATTCGTAAATTATACAAACTAATTTATGAACGGAAACTTTGTTCTAGCTTAAATCCGTCCTATTTTTAATGACAAGCGAACAAATTTCGTACAAGAAACAGACAATTTTCAGATTACGCTGACTTCGGATAATTTAATGTAGTAATGCAAGTTTCTTATAGTTTTCTTAATAAAGCATAAAATTACGGGTCACACAGCGTAGGGCGGTATTGCATAACTTCCATGCTAGTCTCTCAAAAAAAAAGTGAATGTTAGTGCGTACGTAATCGACGCCGAGATATTTATTTTGTCTCACGAGCGCAAGGAGAAAACGCCGTTACGAATTAGTCGAGCCTCATAGTTTTCGCTTAATATTTTAAGCGGCCAGTTAAGGATAAAATCGCCTAAGCGTGTATCGTGTTATTGCGCTGGGTCATTGTACCTCTATTGCAAGTTTTTGCGTAAGTTCAATGATAATGAACCGCCTGATATACTCGCTTGATTGTTAGGGATTTTACACGCACTAATTCGTGTTGCCCGATAAAGTATGTGGAATAACGTGTACCCACGCTATTTAAACACGTTCGAAATAAGGCATGACTTACTTCAAGCTTCGGTTGAAGTATACAGCGTGTCGTTACAACCGCGACAATAAATGAATACACGACTAACGCTACTGGCCAATAATCATAAAAAAATTACACGTTAAAAAAACCATATTTAAAAAAAAATTTCAAACAAACTAATTAAACAAAAAGAAACAAAATTTGTAACATCCCATACAACCACAACTGACTGATTCATACATTTAGATAGATACCTTTTCATTCGTTGCCACAGCGTCGCATTACAAATCTCTCCTTCTCACAGTATGTTGTATCTCTTTTAAATTCATTCCACCCAATTCTTATGTTTTGTGACCTTTACAAATGAACTTTACGTTACAGTTTTATACCTAAGGCTGTTCTAAAATTGTTTCTTTTCTAAAATTTAATAACTCGGTTATTAAATTTTAAATTCTATTTATAAAAATGTTTAATACAATTTTAAAAAGTTATCCACACATATAGAATGTTTGTTAGTTTATTGTCGCGATTGTAACGACACGCTGTATATATTATTTGTTATAACAGCAAGTTTAATGGGTTAATTAAAGGAAAAAAAAAACAGTGAACAATTAAATTTTACAAATAAATTTTAATTTGTATTCAATGCTCCCAAATTTTTGTATGTTTGTTTATATTATCATGCAGTACATAATACGATGCTGGAACGTGACAAAATATGAATTTGCATTCACATAACATTCTTATGTCGGCAATTAGAAAGTAAACTCTCCGCGGGAACAAACTAAATACGGAAAATCAATTAATTCAAGCAATTGATGGTAATCCGGGATGGACATATGTTATTAAACATCGATGTAACCTTTTATAAAGAAAAATGAATAAGAACGCATCGGTGAGCCTTTAACTTTTTTCTTAAATAAAAACTTAAACATTTCTTCCAACACTGCGAGAAAGACGCACCAATGCCTTCTCCGACAGTTCCTGTCTCGACAGGAAAGTTTTATTAAGTTATGATTCATAGATTACGTAATGACTAAACGTAGTACCTATACTTAATCTTTACCTACATAATCTCTTTCTACGTTGTTATTTCACTGCAAAATATTAATTTGCTCTGTTACAGAGCCATTGAATGAATGTCATTCTTCGTGCTTGTAATTTTTTGTTTGGAAGAATGGATAGATTAATAATTTATCCAAAGTAACAATTAGATTAAAAGTTTTACAATAAATTTTATCATGTAAAAATAATTATGATAGAGAATAATGGGATATTTTATGTATGTATGGTATTAATTTATCTATTTCTTTTATAATAGCCACAACTAAAATTTAACAAATTAAACGTTTTAAATTTTTTGTTCCAATTGTTCCATCTTGGAAACATTAGTGCCATTGTTATAGAGTTCTAAACTGAGAGTTCATAAGAGCCAATGCGTTACTCTACTTCTGCCGGTTTTATTTAAAGTTGTTACTGAGAGAATTTTATGTACCTAAGAAGTTTTTATAACGTGAAACTATATAATGAGTATCTTGCTCCAGTTTGGTAGCTGTTTGGAATTATTTTTATCGGGAATATACAATTTTGAAGGGCTCGTACAATCCCTTGGTAATGAAAAAACTGTGTGGTGTTGCTGTATGTTATACATATTAAATTAATCCAAGTTCCAAGTGAGTGAATATTTAAAAAAATGTAATAATTATTAACAGTAAACACTTTTCAAAAATAAGGAAACAAACAATTATATGAGCAAATCATTTGAGCTACATTTTCTTCTGTTGCAACATGCCTCATCTGTCATCAAACACACATAACAGATGTTCGTAAATGCAAAACTCAGCTGAGACAAACTTAAGACACCATCAACCTGTTACGTGAATTAATTGGGCTCTGATGGCCTTACGAACTCACGACCTTTCAGCCACCGATCCAGCGTAATGGTACATAAAACCGCCTTGTAATCGCTCCGAGTAAATTGACATCGAAAGCGTGATTTATGGAGGCCTTAGTTACGTCACTGTAATCGTCTGCTATAAGTCCTTACGCGAACGCCTGGTATGTGGTTACACACGCGTATACCGTATATGCGTGTGTAGACAACGACGGTCGGACTCAGTTACAGTTGATAAATGCGAGTTATTTTTTTTAATGAAAAACGTGGCAAAGTAGCATTCGCGCTACCTGATGGTAAGAGTTCACTGCCGCCCACGGAGACTCACAACACGAGAGTAGTCACAAATGCGTGTCCGGCCTTGAGGCAGGAATAGGCCCCCTTCTTGAAGGTCCCCATGTAGTAATTGAAATGTAGAGGCGTCATTGATGCAGTTGTTCCGCACTGATGAAGTTCCGGAGCACATTCTTTGGTATTCTTTATCTATATTTTTATATCTTCCGTTACACTAGATCCAGTTTTGTTGTGAAGCCAGTATTGAAAAGAGCTTACGTAATGTCTTTGTTGTGTTCCATGAATGTCAACGAATTTCTTTTTTTTTTTTGTAATAAACATATCATACGAAGCAGGTTGCCAAATAGCAACATAGCACATCTGATGTTGAATACTCACTGTTACTTTC